TTGCAAGTTAGCTATGAAAGTAATTCATAGTTTCATTGGTTTTATTTACTTCGCTCCTTGATTGGTTCATAGAATTCGTGCTACCCCCTCAACCAATCAGACGGAAGGCTTAAACCAACAGTGTCATGGTTTGAATATGAAAGTGATCCTAGCAATAATGTACACTACTTAAGCAGTAGTGAAAATAAGGCCTGAAAAAAATTCACGCCTGTACGGGAATTAAACTCATGACCTCTGCGATACCGGTGTCATGGTTATTAACGTTTTTCCCGCGCTTTTGGTAGCTTGTTTGTTTTTAATCTGGGTTCTGATTGGCTGTTGCTACTAATCTGGTTTTGGTGCCATGACGCCTAATCAGAAGGTACTCCGGTTAGTAGTCCTAGTAGAATGTCGTCGGCTATTTTACACTTTTACAGTAAATGGTTTTAGCCTGGGGGTAACATACGACAGTGCAATCTGATCGTCCGAGTGCTTGTAGTCTTGAGAAGGACTCCTTTCGGTGGTGGTGACTGACGTTTCGACAAACTGAGCGGAAGTCGTCATCAGAGTCAAGTGAATGGTTGTTGCATTGTCAGTCGAATGTTCTAAGTCCGGTTCGTATAAGCTGATTGGTCAGTTTTGCCGTGATGTTATTGGCTGTAAGACTCAAGTAGCGTAAGTCGGTCGTGATTGATCTGATTCCATCCGTTAGTAAAGTTTGGTCGTTCTGTTCGTTTCATTTGTAGTGTTAACGTCGTCAATGAGTCGTTTGCATGGTGTCAGTAGTAGTTAACACCTGTTGAGGGGAGTCTGGTCCGCGCACGCAAACCAGCTTTTCAGAGTTGGTCTTTAAAAGTAGTTAATACTGTAGGTTAGGCATTTTGCAGAGTCCCAGTCTATAATGTGCTTCGTATAAACCACTCTGTCTGTTCTTCGGTTCGTCTTTGTTTTTCACGTTTGTTCTTAACTGACGTAAGTTGGTGATGAGTTTGTGGGCGACGTGGATATTAAAGGGTTTTAGGATGCCCAAGATGTTCTCATACATGCCCTTTATGTACGGTATGGTTGCTGTAGTCGTAGGAGTTGCGTTGTGGTTTGTTTCAGTAGTTGCAATAGGTGGGTGAATGTTTCGTCGGATGAAGTCGGCGTTGTAGTTGTTCTTTGACAGGGAGCGGTTTATTAGATCAATTGCTCCGATTGCCAAGCTTTCTACACCAGAGAGACTGGCAGAAACCTCACAACAGAGACTGTGCGAACACATGCGGGTGAAAAGGAAACGTGATGTCAACAATCACATTGCTGAACATCATCAACTTACGACACTCACCCGATCAGACTGCACTATCACATTTTACACTTGCCGATGAAATGCATTGCGATTGAACACATTTGATTATTCATAAGGATATGCTTCAATTTTTACCACGCGAAAAAACCCAGGATTGTTTTCAGTTAAGCAAATAATGAGCACTAAGGAAAACTTGTCGTTTATATAACTGTATAGTATAGTTATAGTGTATATAGTATAATAATAGTTTAATAGTTGAAGTTGTTGTGTGTAACTGCTTTTTATTCATGCGCCGAAAGGGACCGTCAGATGAATATCCAGCACTGGAAAAGGTTCATGTGCGTTTTCAGATTCGCACGTATACGTTAACTTAATTATAGGATGTTTACGTGTATGCTATTGATTTGGAAAAAAACTAAGGTCAATTCAGGTCAAGAGCATGCAAAAGACCAGGGTGATATAACAGAAACAACCAACCGATCTTTTTTATTTTTTGTGAGAACGTGAGAAAATACATTTATCAATGCCGGGTCTACTCGTGAAAAAATAAACAAAATTTGTTATATTTCCTGTCAGTTACTAGGTATATTTGCCCTTCGTCTACAATAAGACAGCAAGTATTCAAATGAGCCAAAAAAGTTGAATTGTTACTCTAGCAGTAAAGAATATTCCAGCTAATATAACTTCCCTGACAATACCTTGGTGTGCCTCATTATATCCAATGCAATTTTTGTCCAAACACACCAGCTGGGAGTTGATCAGATGTCTTTTCGCCTACGAAAGCTTAGAAACTACGGAACTTTTTTGAAATAAGCTGAAGAATGTAAACTGCTAATTAAACCTACAGGCAGAATATGTTCTTATCAATAAGCTAACTTATTACCGGAAATACTTTGCCGACGGCATCGTTTCACCGTGTATTTAAAACGAACTTAACGCGAGTTTCTGACACTAAAAAATCGCAGTAGGAACGACTCCCTATTCAGAATTGGAAAATTTCCTGTCTCGTTTGTATTTTTCTGCTTGTAAGGAAAACGAGGAAAACGTCACTCCAAGGTAACGTCAAGGTTATTTAGTAGATTCTCAAAGTGAACAGAAAATAGCGAAAAAAAATGAGTATTATAAAACTGCTGAGTCATTAACGACAAGATCTTCCCTTCACATCACCAAAATGATTCGCTCAAATTATAGGAACTAAATATATGCGTGAAAAGGTCCACTAAGAGTGTGTTACCCTAAAATTCACCGAGAAAAATTAGAAGCATTTATGTATAGATCTTAATTGATTTCTTCAGAGGGTTTGTGTTTTGAGCGTAAAACATAAAAGTTCCTTTTCCGTAGAGATACAGTGGTTGACTAAGGCTTAGTTAGAAAGGGTGCCATAGAATTCTCGTCTAAAAACCTGAGAACACTTTTCAATTCGAATTCGAGGAGGAACTCTAAAAATTTGTAATTCATATCTGACTGTCGCAGTTTTCCAAATTCTTTAATGCAAAAGCTATTAAAATTTTTCAATTTAATAATTTTTTTAAGAATTTCAGAATTATCAAAATATTTCTCCAATGACATTGATGTCAAATGCTGCTTGTTAGAAAAGTCGTCAGGAACGTAAAAGGCTGTTGTCACCGGATGTCGCTGACAACTAATGACGTTAAGATTTCAACCTAAAAACGTTTTTTTAAGGTAAAGTGTTTTCCAGTTTAACCTTTTGAGATTTTTCATCTACGAAAGGGAACCCTGACCAGTTCAGCTCCGAGGGCTATACGGCTTAAATTTATAATACTGCTCCTCGACGAGACACAGTTAAAATATACTTATTACGTTGTTCAAAATTTTTACGTAGCGGTAGAGACAGAGTTGGTTGCGTCGCGTGACGTCTCTGAACGTGATGCCATACATGACCTAATACTGTAACATATGGTAAACATTTGAGTCTGAATTTGACTAGTTCCTTTCACAACTCTTTAACAGTCCTTTTATTAGATTTGAGGTAATTAGAGACTTCAACGTAAAATAGCAGGACAGTGTTGCTCATAATTTTCAGTCTTTAACGGTAGTCATGATGGTTTCTTTTTTTTTTTGGTTGCACATGCCACGCATCGCATTCGTTTCGGAAAACGTCCGTCCTCTTTCAGGGAGCTGTAGTTGCCTGTGAATATAATTGATGTATTGGTAAACGGCGAGGAGATTGGCTCTTTTAATCTCAGACTTTGCCAATAAAGAAACTAAATTAGGAAACCACAATGCTTTCCACTTCAAACTAAAAATAACTGAATTGTAATCGATATATCTAGCCAACGTCCTGATTTAATCTCTCTGTCCATAATTTTTTCATGGGACGGGCAATAAGCATATACCGACCTCAGGTAAGTTAGACTGACATTGTACAGACTCCTGTAGCAGTAGTCCGTGGGGGTTTCAAGACTCTCTTTATGGTGCAAAAATAATAACCTCTCAATTCTCTTTCTAAGCGTGGTGCTGAATAAGTAAAAAAAGAATTGATTTGTAAGTTATGATAGTTTAGGTTTAATGTTTTATGTTGTCGTTTCTAATTACCGTTCAGATCCTCATTTTTTTGGCAGCTCTGGAGCGTGCCCCTGGCCTGCTTTCTTTCCTAAGTTTCTTTTGAGTTCTTCTTCCCTTTTACATCTTTAGACATCAATGAGTGGCGTGAAAATTTAGTTTGAGAATTGTTCTTCATGGTTTTCTTCCTTTCGTAAATTTTCTGTCGGGTTGAACAAGAAATCGCTAATCGCTAAGTTCTCAGCAGATAATTCCATAGAATCAAATCAAAATAATTTGCTCACACAAGACATGAACTAACGCTAATGCGTAGAATAAAATCCCTGCAAAATTTTCTCGTCACAGACATACGCTCATTGCATTATTCGTCAGCATCATGATCACTGCAGAAGCCTGGAGCCCAAGTTTGTGACGTCATTTATCATTATGTCACATCAAGGAAGAAAGAGAGAGGTTATATCTCGTCATGTATTGGAGTATGTCACTTAAGGATCACTTCAAAATTACACACAACAATATAACTGTCACAAATCACTTCGTTAAGAACGAAGGATTAATTTTACTTGTCTAGAAGGGTTCAAATCATCATTTGACTATTCGAAGCGAAGATGTTATGAAAAATCCCTTTGTCTTGAACAGGTATCAAGTTCCATTTTAGCGCAAATGTTCCACAGCGCAATATTTTCTAGTAGATGGGACGCTCTTAATTTCGGACTCCACAACTTATAGAATAAATAAATTCGCCTGAATTCGTGCGTCGAGGGATGTCGAAATAACTAAAATGGTATAATTCTTCCGCACCAATATAATGGTTCACGAGTTTTCACCGGATGCCCCATAAAGACATATCGAGCCAGCTTTAGTCTACGTTTTACATTTGCACGAAATTGTTATGAATAAATTATGAAAGTACCGCAAAAATATTAGAAAATTAGTGGTTTGAAGGTCGCGAAATGAATTCTTCCAATTACACTAGTATGGCGTATAACTGCACATTGTCTGTACTTATAGAACTAGCTTTAATTGTGCTTGAAAATTAGCGGTTTCCCATCAATATCTGATGGTTAGTCCAACGACATCTGCAATTTAATAAGAGTAAGAACATTTCAAAATACCTCATCATAGAGGCCCAGTCGCCAAGGGAGACTAGTCGGCGACAGTTTTACGTAATCACACGTAACCTGAAGGAAAAAAACGTAAAGACTGTAAAATGACGCCCGAAACAAATCTGACCGAAGATCGAGCACAGACGAAAGCATTTGTAGATTTTCGGTGCTCTCCTTCTGTGGTTGGTGGATTACAACCACAATCAATCTATTTCTCAGCAGTTTACATTCTCCTCTCCATCACAACATTTCTTGGCAATTCTCTTATCCTTGTTGCCCTTCACAAGGAATCTGCCCTCCATGCGCCGTCCAAACCCTTGTATCGTTGTCTGGCAACGACTGACCTGTTGGTTGGTATTTTTAGCCAGCCTATCATGGCTACTTATTGGATGCTCGTGGCTCAAGAAAACTGGAGTCTTTGTCGGTACGCAGGCGACGCCGCCTTCATACTAGGCTATACATTATGTGGAGTGTCTTTGTCAACGATGACGGCTATAAGCGTGGACAGACTTCTCGCCCTGTTGTTGGGGCTGAGATACAAACAAATTGTAACTTTGAAACGCACGTATCTCATTGTAGCTACCTTTTGGGTTACCTCAAGTTTTTCTGGGCTGTGGTATATTTCAAATTACCGTATAACCTTATGGCTTGGCCGTGTAAGCACATTAAGCACATTACTTCTTCTGCTAATCTCAATCATCTCGTACACAAAGATTTTTCGTACTCTCAGTCGTCATCAGGCTGAAGTACAACATCATGTTCAACAACAGCCGAGCCAACCATATGCATTGAACATGGTGAAATACAGAAAAGCACTATACAGTGCACTGTGGTTGCAGATTGCATTAGTTGTTTGTTATTTACCATTCGTTATAATGGAAATTTTTATCAGCCCTAGTAGCATATATCCATCGCACTTAGGTGTTTACTGGGAAATAGCAGTAGGCTTAGTTCAATTTAATTCTACATTAAATCCATTTATTTACTGCTGGAAGATTAGAGAAGTAAGACAAGCAGTGAAGCAGACAATCAGACAAGCACTTTGATGTGAGTGGAGCTAGATCCTCCTTCGGATACTAAACGCTCGTCGGATCTTTCTTCGGAAAGGACTATATAAAAATCTGGAAAAACATCCCGCCTCACTAACTAACGAAGATAATTTGCAGGAAAATTTTCACGCAAAAGGCAATATTTCTATCATGGTCCTGTGACATAAAACTTTTGTATCTATAAAAGGAACTTTGAGAGTATATCGACGGAATAACATATGAAAGAATTTCCCGATACAAAGAAATTGATAAAGAGTTGTATTTAGTGCAACTGTGGGAAGAAATTGGTTTCTCTTGTGACAGAAGAAGAGAGTACTGGGATTGTAAATGAGAGCACGTTACTGAAAAAACTTTTTATGTAAAAGCTAGAAAATTCATACATAATTTATTCAAACTTTTTCGCCTTCTGGTTTTTAATTTATTCGAAACAAAAAAAATAGCTTTTTTTATTGGTTGCTTTTAAAATGTTTGTTGACACCTCTTTAATCATTTTGAAAGCAGAACACTTGAAATAATTAAAGTCGTGATGTCGCAATTTATTTACGCTCAGTGGCCATTCAAAGCATGATTTAGAGAAATATGGGATATTGAAGCAGTTTTGTCGACTGTGGTTTATCGAGGGAACAAAGGTGCGTTTGATTTTGCCATCTGAGATTTAAAGAAGCGGAAATTCCCTCGTTTTATTTAAGTTTACGAACGGAAATTCAGTGATACATTTGACGAGCGTGTTTATCTGTCTCAATTGTCCTCGCTCTCACTGAAAATGAAATGCGTTCTGTTCCTGTACTCTGAAAGCGACAGCGCTAAAGCAGAACAGCTGAAGGATTATTTACAAGGCAAGCTGCGAAAAGTGGCAGATTTACGAAATATTACTGATATTCTGGCAGAGGAGCAGGATTTTAAGAAAGAACTTTCTCGCAGCAGCTGCGTCGTTTTGACAGGATCGCGTCATGCTTCGTCACTCATTCAAAACAAACGCCAAGAAACCGAAGATGATTTTATCACTTTCGACGGTAAAGAGATACATGATGCGTTCACAGGAAACAAAGAACTGCTAGACAGATTGGTGATAGTGTTCTTTACGGAGAGAAACAAGAATGATTGGATCCCAACCGGTTTGGATGAAAGTAGAATTTTCTACCTGCCAGGGGAAAAAATTCAGAGAGGAAATCCTTCCTTAGACCATCTCGAAGATTGCATCAATCTTGACTGGCAAAACTCGCGTGTAATTTTGAGACAGAAATATGAAATATTGCAAAGGCTCAAATATTTCAAGGGGAGCCGAATGAACTAGGACTGAAATAGACTTTTAAAATCAAACCATGTCTGTAACCATTTATCCGTGAGTAATAAATGGCGGCCTTAAGGGTTAAAAATAACGATGAATCCGGGCTGTACATGTTTGTATGAACAGAGCTCCCCGCTTGAACTCTCTAACTTCTTTTATCTTCTTTGACCGAGTTAATGGAGTGTATGGCTACAAAACGGAACCCGTCGGCAACCGATCAAATTCCACGGTACTTGAGAAATAATTGTATTGTTATTGTTCTAGAAAAGAGGGAGCAAAGTTCTCATGTGTCGATCATATATGTATTTTTATGCATTTTTTTTCCTCCATTTATTTGTTAGCTCAACAAACTGCAATTTACAGCGTTAGTTTAGAAACTGCATGAAAGATGATTTAATCATTTCTTGAACATAATATTTTACAATGCCATAGCGTTTTCACGTTCCAACCATCTGGTTGTGGGCAGTCTGGGTACAGAAGGTGCGCGACCCGCCATCACGAGATCACGTCAATCTCGTTCGCAGGTATGGTCGGTAGGAGGGAGAGAGACCCTGGAAGCGAGGATAATCATAACGTCAACATTTCATTTATTCCTTATTATCGACCTTAGGTACCAATACTGTGCTTTATAATCCACATCGATGGTCAATCAATACAACATACCATGCTCCAGCCAGAGGCCTATAGCATACCCATGCTTCGTAAAATAATAATTAAACGGGAAACCATGATAACAGGATATCTTTAGATTTTTATTGCGTAATATAAGTGAGGAGACTACTGGATAAACAAAGTTTCCTTAACACAGGAGCAACATGACCTAAACATTCGCTGAGGAACTTTTTGAAAGTAAAACTGATGTTGGTTAATTTTTCCTATTTAGAGGGTGTTAGGAGCTATGTAAGCGAGATATTATGAACAGCTTTTAATCCATAGATGTAAGCGAAACGGTGAACATTTTTAGAATTCTGGGGTCTCCTCAAAACAATATCAAAGTACTTAACTACAAAACCTTGAGCTGTTAAAACTGAAATTTGTCTTTATCATAATCACATCTCCACCATTACACCTCACGGTTGACTTAAGGTCGTAACCATCGAAAGAGTGTTTTGATTGAGAAAATTTAACGATACACACAATTACGATTAATTTTGATTGTCTATCACACTGAAGCAGACATTATAAAGCAATCAGTCAAGGACTCGGCCCTTTACAATAAATTCTGACTCTTTCTCTCCACGGATCTACCGTTTCTTTACTCTGTTGTCCTTCAGCTCAGTACAAAAAGTCATCTCCAAGCAAAATTTTCTTCATGCGATATTCAAGGTGAGTTAAGGTAGGACTTCCGTTGGGAGGAACTGTCCCATCTTCCACATGAAAAATTCGATTTTCATCTAAATCTGACGGGATCCAATCATTCTCGGTTCTCTCTGTGAAGTGAATGATAACGAGTCTGTTCTTGACAAGTTCTTTGTTTTCTGTGAACTCTTCGTGCATAACTTTGCCGTCGAAAATGATATCATCTTCATCTTTTTCTTGCTGCTTGTTTTGGATGAGGGACAGGGCATGGTGTGTCCCGATCAACACAACACACTCACTGCGGCGAAGTTCCCTTCTGAAATCTCGGTCCCTCACTAGAAGGTTATTTATATTTCTCATATCTGCAACCTTGCGTAACCTGCCTTGAAAATAATCCATGATTCGCCTTCCTTTGGTCCTGTCGCTTTCAGTATACAAAAACAAAGAGCATTTCATTTTCCTCTCGAATTTTTTTGTGGATACGCAAACGAACTTAATAAACCTGCTTTCTTTCGGATGTTCTGGTTTAAATTTTCAGAGAGGAAACCAAAACTGCGTTTGCAAAAAGTACAGGTGATAATGCGGCAAAGGAACTCTTTAGCTTCTGTAGAATATGCCAAAAGCAAATGTGTAAATTACATGTGAAAAGAATGTTGAACCCCTGAGAGAGACCTATCCGTAGGAATCTGGTTTAGGTGCTTCGAAACAACAGAAGGTCTTGGAGGCCCGCCTAAGCTCGTGCTTGGTTCTTGGAGTCTGGAATTTTTATAGAATACCTATTTTGGCTTTTGACACCGTATTCCTAGAGAATACGCATTGTCGCATCATTTACAACTCAACTCTCTACCAGCATACATTTTAAAGACCTTTTTACATTTTTCCTGCTCGAGCTCTCTGACGTTGTGAGATTTTCAGTTATTACTGGGATACCTGTGGTAGCCCAGTCATAAAATGCCTTTGTTTTTTTGTCGTCTTTTTACTGGGATACCTGTGGTAGCCCAGTCATAAAATGCCTTTGTTTTTTGTCGTCTTTTTTTTTTTTTTTTTTCCTCCGCCACAAAATGGAAAAATTGCGCAATAATACCCAGAGGTCATTGGGCCCTCAACACCATGACAGCTAACTGTGATCCAATGAGGTGTTCACATGCTGATCACGCGTGTTATCCCTCAACACCATGACAACTAACTGTGATCCAATGAGGTGTTCACATGCTGATCACGTGTGTTATCTTGATGATGATTGACGTTGTCATGCACAGACGGGGCCGGGTCACATGACGAATCACGAGATTTTGCTTATAAAACTCTTTGGTCAGTTGTTTTGTATTTCAACGTATTTGGATTGCGATTTCCTGGAGCTTTATGGCGCAAACGCGCAAAATACTAACAGACGCATATACAAGTCGTATTAATCGCGGCTAATCCACACTGAAAGATGTTATTGAGCGGTAATTTTGGAACGGATTGAGTCGCAAACGCTTGAAAGCCTTGAATGCCTTGTACGCTAAGTATGCCAATGTCTTAGTTGAAAAACGTCCACTTGTTGTAAAAAGCAAAATATGAAATCTGAAACCAAACTGCATATATTCTGTGCAATCTATTGAACAACACTACTACCGTGAGACTGAAGAACATAACTATAATGGATGCAAACTGCTTGTGAAGAAAGACGACATGTTGGATTCACTTGATGGCAAGGAACGTAGCTACGATAACACTACGAATGGTATTAATTTCACGATCAGAAAGGTGAATCTTGTCTTTGTTTTCATTGTAGTTGCATGGATATCCTTTTCTAATAAATACGTGATCTAAAACCCTGTGTTTTTTGTGTATAATGTTATTATGTTAAATATTGTTTACGCAATTGTCTCGTCACAGGCAGCCCAAGCTCACGTCTCGAGAAAAAGATGAACGCGTCACGCGTTGTGTGACTCGGTGTTAACTGCACGTTATAAGGAATAGTCCATGGAACGAAGTATGGTCGATTTACAACGATACATATTTCGAAATATGAACATTTTTCTCGTAAAATCAATAAAACTTACTCATACCCTGTATATCCGTTGTATTTTCTGGCGATTTCTGCCGTTTTAAGCTTGCTTTACCATCACTGGTATTCACGTCATCTACTTTAATTACGTTGGTAAAATCTGTACAGACTCACACCAACCAACTCGCGCACAAAGTAAGAAGACTATATTGAAGGCTTGAAATAATATTGCCATCGATTTTCATCAAGAAATGGGCCAGGAATATTCCACAATAGTGCAAATAATCGTGAAGGCGGATCGCAGAAAAGCGATTGCGTGACGCTCGGTAAGCTGTAAGATGACATGTTATTATATACCAGACGTAAAAACTCTTCAGATTCTTAGTCTGCATTTTGTAGTAACAGGTATCCATGGCACCAATACAGTTTATTTTTGGTTATAATTTATTCGCAAAACACACATAATCTACCACAAAATACCTTTGAGTGAGGTAATTCGACATTTTCGTTCTTTCCCACATTAATATTCTTCTCTCCTTTTGTAAGAATGTAGACATCACTCAGAATGTAGACATCACTCACAATGTTTCAAGTAATCCAACCACCCTACAAAAAAGTAACTCTTGCATGCATAGCATGCTTATTTTTTGAAATAGGTGTATGCCCTTGGCCAGACCTGAGCGCACTATTTCAGTATACTAGTCAGACACCCGTAGTTTCACTACACTTGATTCCAAGGATCCAGTACCATCCAGGTATCCCAGTTACCCTGCTCACAGGGTCTAGTTTTTTTTTTTTCCTCCACCACAAAATGGAAAAATTGCGCAATAGTACCCAGAGGTCATTGGGCCCTCAACACCATGACAAGTAACTGTGATCCAATGAGGTGTTCACATGCTGATCACGCGTGTTATCCCTCAACACCATGACAACTAACTGTGATCCAATGAGGTGTTCACATGCTGATCACGCGTGTTATCTTGATGATGATTGACGTTGTCATGCACAGACAGGGCCGGGTCACATGACGAACACGAGATCTTGCTTATAAATTTCAACGTATTTGGATTGCGATCTCCCGGAGCATTATGGCGCAAACGCGCAAAATACTTACAGATGCATATACAAGTCGTATTAATCGCGGCTAATCCACACTGAAAGATGTTATTGAGCGGTAATTTTGGAACGAATTGAGTCGCAAACGCTTGAAAGCCTTGAAAGCCTTGAATACCTTGTATGCAAAGTATGCCAATGTCTTAGTTGAAAAACGTTCACTTGTTGTCAAAAGCAAAATCTGAAATCTGAAACCAAACTGCATATACTCTATGCAATCTATTGAACAACGCTACTACCGTGAGACTGAAGAACATAACTATATGGGATGCAAACTGCTTGTGAAGAAAGACAACATGTTGGATTCACTTGATGGCAAGGAACGTAGCTACGATAACAGTACGAATGGTATTAATTTCACGATCAGAAAGGTGAATCTTATGTTTGTTTTCATTGTAGTTGTATAGATATTCTTTTTTAATAAATACGTGATCCAAAACCCTGTGTTTTTTTTTGTGTATAATGTTGTTATGTTAAATATTGTTTACGCAATTGTCTTGTCACAAGCGGCCCAAGCTCACGTCTCGAGAAAAAGCCAACGATTAATTCATGAACGCGTCACGCGTTGTGTGACTCGGTGTTAAGTTACGAGAGGAACTGCACGTTATAAGGAATAGTACAGGGAACGAAGTATGGTCGATTTACAACGATACATATTTTTTTTTCCCGTAAAATCAATAAAACTTACTCATACCCTCTGTATCCGTTGTATTTTCTGGCGATTTCTGCCGTTTTAAGCTTGCTTTACCATCACTGTTGTTCACATCATCTACTTTTATTACTTTGATAAAATCTGTACAGACATCACACCAACCAACTCGCGCGCAAAGTAAGAAGACTATATTGAAGGCTTGAAATAATATTGCGATCGATTTTCATCAAGAAATGGGCCAGGAATATTCCACAATAGTGCAAATAATCATGAAGGCGGATTGCAGAAAAGAGATTGCGTGACGCTCGGTAAGCTGTAAGATGACATGTTCTTATATACCAGACGTAAAAACTCTTCAGATTCTTAGTCTGCATTTTGTACCCACTCTGCAGTCTGCAGTCTATATTTTGTATCCAGTCTGCAGTCTGCTGTCTGCATTTTGTACTAACAGGTATCTGTGGCACCAATACAGTTTAATTTTGGTTACATTTATTCGCAAAACACACATAATCTACCACAAAATACCTGTGAGTGAGGTAATTGGACATTTTCATTCTTTCCCACATTAATATTCTTCTCTCCTTTTGTAAGAATGTAGACATCACTCACAATGTTTCAAGTAATCCACCCACCCTACAAAAAAGGAACTCTTGCACGCATAGCATGCCTATGTTTTGAAATAGGTGTATGCCCTTGGCCAGACTTGAGCGCACTATTTCAGTAGACTAGTCCGACACCCGTAGTATCACTACACTTGATTCCAAGGATCCAGTACCATCCACGTATCCCAGTTACCCTGCTCACAGGGTCTAGTTCATTATGCATCGTGAATCTCAACGGCGTACAATAGGTGCAAAAATGCAAAACTGACATTTGCCATTGTAGGCTACTTTTTACACGATATATTAACTTTTTTTCAATTTTGTAGTTTCACAGTTGAACGATGTAGTTTTAAAGATGCAACCAAGTTGCAAGCTCAAGACATGCTCAAATTCATCGTTTTGATATTTAGGGTTTTGTACATGTTTCTTATTCACGTACCACCTTCAAACCGCTGTCCAGTAATTAATGACGGAACGCGTAGTCAATTTTCCTTCTTGTTTTGAAAAGAATTCAAGGCGTAGATTAAGACATGAAGAGTTCTAGGTACTCTTTTGACCATTAGTTTTTGTTCAAAGGACGCTAGTGAATCCAGCTCAATCGTAATATTTATAATTCATCACAGGAAGCCACATATCCATTGACTTGCCAAAATGATCTGGCAAGCGCAAAATTTCGCGGGCTTGCCTCGTCACTTAAGAAACGTTGAATAGCGGAAAATTCGCCAATGAATTTCAATAGAGAATTGTGAACTTTTGAAAGCGTACATAAACCAAATTATATTTCATTTCAAAGGCAGCACAAACACTGATTTTACAACGTAAGATTTTAGCTCTGTTTTTTTAGGTGAATTTCGTTAAACGTTTTCTAGTGAAAAATGTTGTCCTGATACAAGTCAGTGGTCATTATATGAAAAATCACATAACATTGTTTTCTAATGGGGAAAGATATGCAACAAAAGTTTCGTTTGCTTTAAAACCTTTATTATTTTGATTTACATTGTCTCGTTCCCGAAATTTTAGGTTGAAAGTATGTGAAGGCTTTTTTTTTCCAACCTCCATGTTTTCAGAGAAAGGCGTAGAGGACCCTGGGGATGAGTAATACCGAGGCCTCCACTTATCGATCGATAGCTCGGCTCAGATAACTGTTCGCGCTTTTAGTACTTGCCAGTCATCGAGGGCCAGCCTACGAAAATATTAGCGATATTTACCCCCAAAATTTGGCAATACATGATTCACATTTGATAAATATAACTTAAATGTGGCTTGTGTTAAAAGATTCAGGGATGTGGAAAGAACAGCAAGCGTTGGAGAACGCTGAAAAGGGTGATGAACCGGGAAATCAGCGTGAAATTGATCGCCGTAGTGATCACCAGCAACAAGATTTGGCAGAAGAGGAATTTGACGAGGGGTTCTGGATTAAGGTAATAAAGTTGGAATGTTAATTTCATTTGTAGAGCAGTTTTTTAAATTATTTTTTTTAGCTCTTTAGCGTAGCGTTTTAGCCATCTGATAAATCCTTTGGTATTGCCAGAGCTTGATTTTATGACTAGGTTCATCAGAGGCAGAGCGAAAGTTTGTCATGGAACAGAGCTATGGGTGAAGTTCATGTTGAAAGAATGATTCAGAAGTACAAGGACAGAGGGGAAATAGACCATGAGCTCGAGGATCCAGCACTTGTGATGTTAAAACAGTGGCCAGCTTCTAAACGATACCAAGATAACCCTGATAAACTTCCAAGCCTTGAACAGCAGGCATGTAGGATAGGTTTTTGTACATACGGGAATTTACTTGTCTTTCTTCTGCCCAACCAGTCTACAAGATTCAGGAAATGTATCATTTTTATCATTATTATTATTACTGTTATGTTACTGAAAGATTGTGTCCTTCAATTGTGTTTTGCAGATCAATCAGCTTTTGGAGATTCTGTTAGAAAGTGAACTAAATTCGGAAAAGCGATATGAGAAGTTCAGAGATACTGGGGTCAAAGCTGAGAAAACATTGATGCACTATGCAGCAGAACTTGGCTTTTTACATGTCACCAAAACACTTGTGAAGAAGTGTCCTCTGCTGCTTACCATGACAACAGAAGATCAGCGAAAACCTGTTAAAAAAAGAGCCATGTTACCAGTGGAACTGGCAATAGAGGCAGAGAAAGATGATGTGGCAGCCTATTTGATTAGAGTTATGTGGTATAAAAGGTGAAAAAAATGTGCTTAACATTAAGATCAATGCAAGTTTCTAAATGGACAAATCTTACAGCAATGGGATATTCAAAGACTTGAGTTTCCTGTTGCTGGAAAATTGTGATTACAAAGTCCAGATTGAAAGAATATGTATTTATGAAGTATTATGACCATCAGTTTTCTTTGCAAACAAAATGATTAATGAGTGAATACAGATCTTTTTGTATTCCTAAGTGAGGGAACTTAGTATGCCTGCTGTGAACAACCTGATATATTGAAATACTGGAAACTTACCTTCAAAGTAAATAACTTTAATCTCCTGCTACTTTTAGAGTTCAAAGCTTATTTTCCTGGACACCAGATGATATGGTTAATCCAGAACCATCCTCCTTCAGTTTCAAGGCAATCATCCTGAATCCTAAAATGAAGGTGAGATTGTTGTATTTGTATAATCTTGAATAAATCACAGCTTTGATTTTATTTCCATATAAGCATTTTGATGGAATAAGAAAAGCTTCTTGTGGATCCTTACAAATGAGTTCAGCAATTTTCTTTGCATAACGTTTTAAATATAAGCTCAAAGTTGCTACTTTTTTTAAAAAAGATCTGAGAAATCACATCACGTATCTGATAGAAGTCTGTCATGAAACATAATTTGCATGAAAAGAAGGAACTGCTTGTAGTCAATGTATCTGATTATGAAAGGTGAAGTGGGGGCGTGGTGTTTGCCATTGGGAAACCTTGGTCAGTTATTTTAAAGCCAGTAACAGATTTCATGTAAGTCACATTTCTGTAAATTTTCAACGAAGTGGCTGTAAGTTTGAATGAAGACATTTGAGTGGGAAATTTGCTATCCTATCTCAGTGTCCTATTTGTGAGTCTGATGTTATCTGTTTGTTCTTATCCAGTCTATGGCCAGTATTAATAGCCACAAAGGCTCATAAAGAAGGTGAATTCTCTAGATACAAAAATTTTTATCTTCACTCCTGTCAAGTTCTTGATAAGAGCAGAAAAGATTATCATCATCATCATCTTTGTTCTACTCATCAACAGCATCATTATCATTACTATTATTGTCCATACAGCTTGCTTAGGTTTAAAATGAGCTATTTACTAGGCAAACACCTATTTAAATAGGTAGAAACCAAATATTTTGGACACTTCATCATCATCTGGATAAACGATGATGACCAAGCGATGAAGATGACCTGGTAATGATTATGACCTTGTGTCAAAAAATGTTTCAGTTTTTACTTTTTAAAGATATTTTTGCCTAGTAAATAGCTCCGTATTATTACCATTGTTAATGTTATTTTTGTTATTTGTATTTGTTGTTTTGTAGCATACAGCTGTGTGACAAAGATTAGATTGAGCATTACCTTTTGGGCCAATCATTACTTTTTTTGGTACTTTTTACTTACATGTAAAATAGAAATATTTTGATGGAATAGGCTTTGATCTCCAATCGCTCTGACGAAGGGCTAATGCTCAAAACATCAGCCTCTAAACTCTTTACAGTGGCCAATTTACGTTTTCAACTCAGGTGATAATACTTAATTACCCTGTTGTACTCTCCCATTGACACAGCCTCACAGTTTCCTTGAAACTTACCCCCTTAATTCATATGATCTATGCTGTTTACAGAAAACAGTAGTGGCTGTGTTAGACCAGATGATGAACCCTCATTGGCCATATCTTCCACAGCGCCAAGAAAACTATGAAACTGAAATGGAAAGAGAGGCAATTGAAGGAGTCTGGAATACAATCTCAGATGATCCATTAAACTATCATTTTTATTATCATATCTTGGATGGAGATGAGGGAGGACGACCCCCAAAGATTGGGGCTTCAGATGGACACCAGCAGATAGAAAACAGATATTTTAACTGCAAGGATAATTCTTGTTTACATGCAATTGTCAAGAGCAACAACAAAGTAAGTTTGATCCAAAAAAGGATCAAAATCAATATTTAGAAGATTCAGTCATGTGGTAAAATATATAATGTCATCATTATTTTAAAATATTTGGAAAAAAAGGAGAAACATTCATATTTTAGAGGTACATACTATTGTAGGGGTTTGATTTTTATATCACTCTTACACCAAAATTGTTTGTGAAGAAATCAGATCTTTAGTTTTGATTTTTAGGAGGCTTTGCAACATCCTGTTGTCAGAATGTTGATTAAAACAAAATGGAGAATCTATGGACACTTGTTTCTCAGGTACATTAGTTGTGTTTTCATGCTTCATACTGTATAACTTTGAGGATTAGCTGTAACATATTAATTCACATAGATGTTAAATTAATAATAATTATTATTGATGTATCTTTAAGTACAGGTAATTAAGAAAAATTTGTTGAGTTTATTTGTGCCACTATACACACATGAGCAGCAATGTCATTCAGTCTTATTATAGTATTTCATGTGAATGCATCATGCTGTTTGGTTTCTCAATGGTTTACAACAAACATATTGCCAAGAACATAATGTTTTGTATCTTCATTTCAATTTCTAATCTTGTGCCCTTCCTCCATTTTACTTTTGCAGAGGTAATCATGATTACTTTTCCTTTTCTGTAGCCTTCAAGCAGCATTGTATTGCATCTTCTTGCTGTGCATGTCATATTCCTTGCTGCATGCCTCAACTAAACTGGACCCCACCCATTACAGCGGTGTGCTGGACTCACTGCGTGGATTTTGCGAGGTTGTCACTCTACTTATGGTCGTGTTTTACATCTGTGAGGAAATAAATCAAATAAAAATGTGAGTAATTATGGTGATCAAAGGTTATTGTGCAAATTTCATCAAGACCTCCCATTTGACCCCATATCTCAGTGAATAACCCCACATCTGGAGGAAAAACACCTCATAGAATTTTAGGAGAGAGGCAAAGTAATAAAAATTGTTTGATTTCTTGCAGAGAAAGGCGTTCTTATTTCACAGAGTGGATGACCTTGTTTGACTGGTTAGGACTGCTGTTGATATTGTGCATAGTACCGTTACGATACATGGATCATAAAGCACAGTGGATGGTGACATCTTTAGCCTTCTTGTTCAACTTCCTGAGAATATTTAAATTTTCATGTGTGTCAAGGTAACCTACAACTCCCAACTGATTACTTGAGTTCGAAAAGAGCACTGATGAATTAAAACTGATCCCTTCGTCAATCTAACCTAACATTACATTAAATCTTTCCTAGGACTACAGGATTATACACACAAACCTTGGCCAAGATCATTTTACATGATGTAACAAGATCCATGGCAGTTTTTATTGTGATCTTTTTCTCCTTCTGTGGTGCCTTGACTTTATCACTTTGTTACTCCGGATCCAATGAAAACCAAGAACTTCGGTGCGTCTCTGTTGAGTATATCTCCTTAACAAAGCTATGAAGTTGTTTCGGAGAAAACAAATTGGGTATCGTTTCTTACAAGTCAATAAAATATTTGATAATTTCTATTGGAATTTGTTTAATTTGATCTACGCTTCACTAGCTAGATGTTTTATTTACTTAAATTATTCTCATCCTTTCTGGCAAAAGCAATCTACTGATCGCGGAATTTGGATGTTGAATGTAGCGCGTGAGAAGTGCAAAAAACCCCAACATTCTAATTTTAATTTTTGGTTTTGCCTTTAGTGGTTTTGGAGACGTCTTGATGAGCGGGTTTCGAGTGCTGTCCGAGCAGTATCCAATGGCGCAAAATTACTCACCTTTCAAGTACGTCACACTAGTCTTTGAAGTTATTGCTGAGCTTCTCTTTGCGCGTAACGACTGTTACGATTTGAGTTTTAAAAGCTGGCTCAGGGAAGCTAAGGTCACAAGTCATATTATGTCTGTAATAAGGGAGCGGTGGTGTTTAGTAAGTCACACATATTTTCCTTCAGTAGATAAGCTTAGCTTTGTGAATGTTTCTGTCCTGCAGCTGGCTGTCAGTTCTTCTAATGATGGCGTATATGGGAACAGTGACTGTGATTCTGCTCAACATTCTTGTTGCTCAGATGAGTACGACCTACACACAGGCTAAGAGAGTCGCTCGTCTGGAATATGATGTGGATCGTATTTTACAGCTCACGCGCATGGAGAGATTTCCTTTTCTGGTGAGTATCACTTGGTAATTAAGATAAAGTCATTAACATATTGACGCTAGGTGTGATTGCGCGAATGTGCTGCCCGCCTCGTGCAAGTGTGAATGAGGGGGTGGAAGGTGAAGGTCATTGATTTATTATGCAACAACCTTTCTCTCTGCAGAATTTACGTGTGAAGTTTTACAAAGAAGGAGACTGGATTAGTGAGATGAAACTTGCAAAAGGTCGGTAATGAAATAAATGAGACTAGTTATTAAGACATACCATCAGTCACAGGATGTTGTTAGCTGAAAGGTGGAATTGCTTTTGGTAAGAAGGACAAATTTGGCGTGGCTACTGAAAGGAGTGGTGTGGAAACGAAAAGAAGGGCTGTTCACTTTGCTAGCCTTTGTTTTAATTGGCAAGAGCTCTGTAGCTGTCTGAACAAACAGTTTCATATAATAATCACTTTCCATTTCAATTCTTCGTTGGTGGGTAAGAGGGAGTCTCGTGAAGAGTACGTAAAAGCGAAACATCTTGCTTTCCGATGCTATAATTCGTAGAAATTTCATTGTGTTCTCAGATGTGATCTTGGTTTTGCTCACAGAGCTTCTGGAATTCAGTGAAGATCGCAGTCCTTGGGAGTCGGTTGAAGAGAAACTTAATGATATCAGGTACGAATAATTCCTTCAATTCCTGCCTTTTCTTACCATCAGCTTCTTCATTAACCCAGCAATGACACATTGAGCGCTTTGTATCAAGTGTTGTGAAACCAAAACTAAATTAACTAAGGGGGTACATTGCTAAGAAACTGTGGTGCTGCGTCGGTGGGAGAGTATAACAGGGTAATTAAGTATTATCAACTGAGTTGATAACGTAGGTTAGCCACCGTAAAGAGTTTCAAAGCTGACGTTTCGAGCGTTAGCGCTTCGTCAGAGCGAAACTAAATTTGATACAGCGACAAATCGGAAGGCAAATCCAAAAAAAGACAAAAAAATACAAAAAAAACAAAAAATCAATCAAACTGTCCGAAGCGTGGGAAAACAATTGTGATCAAGTCTAAATCTGATTGATTGAGAGGATGGGGCGAGTTTTCATAACCAATCAGAGAGCAAAGTGTAACAAAATTGACGTGTTGGATTTCCCACGGCTCGTAACTAAACTTTCTTACCCACCCTGCACTTTCATATTTTTGTGTATCAGCGGTTTTCTTTATTGTGAGTTTCTCATTTTAGGGATTTGATGAGAAAGATGGTTAAACAGATGAGGCCTGGACGCGAATAAACGAGTGTCTGTTTCTTGACGGCAATAAGAGGAATACATTGCTTCCGTTTTCTTCGGAATTTTTCACCACTTGCATTCCGTACGACTTTGACCGAAAGATAGGGCGATAGTTTTTTAAACTTTTTGTAAACGAATGGGATATAATTTTATTGTAAATTTTTCTTATGGGGTTTAAATTGAAGATCTGGCAGCGCACACCCACCCGTGGCAACATACCCAAGTGCCTCCGGAGGAGAAAAACGTGCAGGACTATGGTTCCTGGGGCGTCCTGGTTTACTTTTAGAGTGCTAAAAATTCACGCATTTTGTCCCTAAAATGTGAGCCACAGATATCAAGTACGTACTCATACATCCTCTTAAACCCTGTTGCGTGAACGTTACGTCACAGTCTCAACCACATGCCCAGTTTGTTCCGCGAAATTCGACGAGTCCCGTGATTCCCTGTTATGACATGAGCAGTTCATTACTTTGTCAAATATTCAGGACAGAATGTAGATGGTCCTTTTGATAGCACCAAAAGGTTTCTTTTAGAAACGTTATTCAGTGAAATCACTAAACAAATAAGCAGTGTTTTTCATTGTTTGGTGGCATGCATGCTTCAAGTTTAAACTGTAAAGATATTGAATCCAATTTCCTGCCCTTGGTTTTTCCTTTGATTCGTTAAATTAGCACGCAAGAAAATGTGTACAGGCAAGTAAACGCCTAAATCTTCCACACCGATTAAACTTATTTATCTAAGCGCCTTGTCCAGATTCATTATGAATGCTACTTTGAAGTTAGTCATAATTACGCCATAAATCAACAAAATTCAAAGGTTTCTCCACAGTGTTGTCTTAAATCCAACAAAAGTATCGACGGAATATAATTCCTTATTGCACACAATTTCAAATTTATTACAACTTACCTGATTACCTAACGAAATGTTATTGAAAACAACCAGTTAATTATTTTAAGACATAGCTTCCTTTACACTTACAAGATATTTCAATTTTTGATTACACAGATACTTCAGGCTACTGAAGCCAACCGTGGCATATGTTGCTTTCTAATTTCTAAATGTCATCGCGCTTATTTTGCTGCCAACAGGTACAACTACACATCTTCAGTCTATTCACTCCCAATATTTGTCTGATCCAACGTTCAGGGTGGCTCATTGTTTGTATTTTGACTCGCCTTACGGGCTTGTTAAAATGAGGCACAACTCACAAAAATACTCAGCGATACCATACACCAATACGTCTGATAAGATGTATTTTTTGGTAGTTTTATTTCTTCCTTTAACTGTTTGCCCTATAAACTGCATCGTTAAGCCAATTACAGCGTTAGTTTACGATCCACATCGCTAATAAAATAATATTGATGCTACAGCGCTACTTGGGTTTCCTGCTTTGAGTGCGAAAGCCGCCTGGTCGTGCAAGGTCTGGGTACAGGATGTGCGCAGCCTGGCATGACATTAATCTCGGTCTTCTAATCGGACTGAAAGAAGAAAGCCCCTGGAAACGGGTCCACCATATTCATGATTTCGACCTAGTGAGCCAATATTTAGTTTTGTAATCCCGTTACAAAGCAGAAGCCTTATGGATGTGAAATAAATCTTTTCCATATTCATGATATGCTCTGGTAGCTCTAAACAGAGGCTAATCAGTATACCTATGATTCAGAAAATTACACGAAAACTAGCACTATCTTAGACTCTTTTATAATAAAATGCGTAGACTAATTAATAGACGTTCACTTCATAATAAGCAAGAAAACCATGAACTGAACATTCGTTTAGGAATTTAGATAGTGAAAGAGTGACGTTCTTCAATTTATTCCACTTTACTCTGTTAGGAAGCCTTGTCTGTAAATGTCTTTTGCTTAAATTCCGAGGTCTCCTCGAAACAAAATTCAATTACTTATCTACAACATCTTGAGCTGTTACTACTTATATTTGTCTTCTCATGATAACACATTATCCAGTCAATTTAATCACATAGCTAATGCGGTGGTGTAACCATCACGATTAATAATCACAATCTAACACAATGAAACGGTCATTCAAAGAAAATAAGCTGAAAAGCCAGCTTTTCAAAACTATGACTCTCTCTGTCTATGAATTACACTCCGTTATACTAAAGCTCAATACATGAAGCTATCTCCGAGCAAGACTTTCTTGATGCGATATTCAAGGTGGGTCAAGGTTGGACTTCCATCGGGAGGAACGATCCCATCTTCCACATGAAAAATTCGCTTTTCATCAAAACCTTTCGGAATCCAGTCATCCTCTGTTCTCTCCGTGAAGTGAACGATGAGAAGTCTTTTTTTTACTAGGTCTTTGTTCTCTGTGAACACTTCATGCATAACTTTGCCGTCAAAAGTGATAAAATCATCGTCTTTCTCTTGTTGCTTGTTTTGGATTAGAGACGAAGCTTGGCGTGTTCCGACCAATACGACGCACTCACTGAGACGAAGCTGTTTCCCGAAATCTTGTTCCTTAACCAAAATGTTCTTGATTCCTCTCACATCTGCAATCTTTCCCAACCTGCCTTGATAATAATTCATAAGTCGCCTGGCTTTGTTGTTGTCGCTTTCAGGGTACAGAAACAGCACGGATCTCATTTTCGACTTGAATTCAGTGGGGCGAGTAGGAAAAATTTTCTCTCGGATGCTGTGATGTGAATCTTTCGAACAAGAAACTAAAGATATGCTCGCTGAAAGAACAGTCGCCTTTAAAGAGAGGAGCGCCCATAGCTTCTCTAAAATATACCAGAAACAAATGTGTAAATTGCATGTGAAATCAATTTTGAACAGTATGCGAAGGACTTGTAAATATGAAGTTGTTTTTAAAGCATGGATATGTTAAGACTGTAAATTCGTCACTACTTCATCAAGACTCGAACACTATTTTAATTACTTCGAAATAACAGGAACACTCAGCACGTCGGTCAAAGCTCATCCTTAATTTTTTTGTTTTAGAATTTTTCACCCCATGCTGGCTTCCTGATACCATGCAAAATGAATACATTCTTTCGCATAATTCTCGACTTCCTGCCTGCATACATTTCATCAGTGTCACTTTGACGTATTTCCAGAGTTTTTTTTATGAAACATGTAATATTTGCAAGCTTTCGTCATGCACCGTGAATCTCTTCTCTTTGTCTCGTGAACAATTCCAAACGATTTAAAATTTCTGTACAGCCACAATCTTTGAGCTGTGACGTGTAGGCCTGTCCCGAATGTGCTTGTAAGAAGTTGCTCACTGGAATGCCAAACAGGTGCTAAAAAATTGCTTCCTTAATTTCAAAAGTTGTTTTTTAAATTTCTTGATATTTTTATTTAAACGTTAATTAAAAGCTATAGTTTTCGTTCTTCCCAAATAAAAGCAAAGCTTGCAAAAAGGGGCGGCTTCTAATCATCTACTTCCGGTCATGGAGAGTAGATCAACAAAGACAGACATTTTGTGCGTCGTTTTTACCAATTATACGTTCTGATATTAGGTCCAATAGTAGGCCTGCGAAACATTCAATAAATTTGCATAAAAAGAAGTTTTACAATGAAAGAGTTGGATTTATCGTGCTTGATATGTGCTTTAGACCTAAAAGTTGCTCAAAAATTTCCCGAGGATGCCAGAACCGCAAAGGGTTGCTCCAAACGCCAAAGTTGCTCAGAGGTTACCAGGCACAATCGGGACAGGCCTGGTGAAGTGGCAAATCACCATTTTTCTCACTTTAACGACGAAAGATTGTGCGGTGGAGTTTTGATTTTTTGTTTGTTCTTTTTTCCATATAAAATGGTTTAGGGCGACGCCTCGTTTGCAAATCCTAACCTGGTGCCCAGGGGCTTCTCAATTTTTCAGCCGAGAAGCTGATAACCCTGGGTATGAATTGGTTCAAGGCCTTCGGTCATTACTCGGCTCATGTTGGTTTGTGTACTGACAAATGATCTAGTGATGGCTTGCCGAAGTTGCCCTGAAAACATGATGCAAATCTGAAACACAACTTAAATGTGGTTGGTAATAAACGATTGTGGAATGACCAAAGGGGAGCGAGAGTTGAACCGCGCGGAAAAGAGCAATGAGCGAGGAGATCGGCATGAAATTGATCGCTGTCGTGATCATTGGGAAGGAGATTTGTTAGCAAATGAATTTGACGAAGAGTTCTGGGTCAAGGCAAAGACGAGTTTTTTTTAAAATTCCCTATGCTATCTTTTCATGTAAGCTTTTTTCATATAAGTTATCATTTCCTTTTTATGACAAGGTTTATCTAAAACAGAACAAAGGATTGTCTTGGAACAGCGCCATCGACGAAGTTCGCGTTGAAAGTTTGGTTCAGAAATACATGGACGGCGGGGAAATGAACAATGAGGACCCAGCTCTGTTGATGTTAAAAACTTGGCCGGTATCTAAACATTACAAAGATAATCCTGATAAACTTCCTGGACTTGAGCAACAGGTAATGAAGTCTATATACAGTTTTACATGCATATCAAGTTACTTAATCAGACTCTCTTCCATCTAACTAGTTTGGAAAATCATGTCAAGTGAGTGATTCATTCTCTTTTTATAATGTTATTGTCAATGTATTTTTTAGATAAACAGGTTTTTGGAGATTCTGTTGGAAAGTGAACGGAACTCATGGAACAGATACAAGGCATTCCAGGATGAAGATGACAAAACCAGAAAAACACTGATGCACTATGCTGCAGAACTTGGCTTTTTACATGTCACCAAAACACTTGCAAAGAAATGCCCTCTTATGCTTACCATGATGACAGAAGATCAATTAAAGCCTGTGAAAAAAAGAGCTATGTTACCAGTGGAGTCAGCAATAGAGGCAGAAAATGATGATGTGGCAGCATATTTGATTAGAGTTATGGGGCACGAGAGGTAGAAACATGCTTACAATTTGAATAAAGTGAAAAAAAATTTAAATGAGAGTACAGAGATGTGGTCTTTTTAAATATTTAAATATTTTTATTTTTTATCTGAGGAATTAAAATGTTCAAATGTCCAGGTTTAAAGAAGATTTACATAGCAGGTTGATTATAATTTTCTTGGAAAGTTCCATTGTGTAATGCAAGTGCTGAAATGAAGGTCACAGTATGTAAAGTAATAAAAGGATATTGATCTTTTTTTAAGTGACTTGACCTTGCAAGCTTGCTGTATGTAATCCAATTCATCAAAACTATGGAATGTATAATAACTTGGTTTTGAATTAATGGTTCATTTTATTTTTTGTATATTTTCAGAGTCCAAAGCTTATTTTCCTGGACACCTGAAGATATGACAAATCCTCTGTCATCCTCTTTTAGTTTCAAAGCAATTATAGAGAATCCTAAAATGAAGGTGGGCACATGTATTTTTCTCCTTATGTATAGGGGCATGTATAAAGCTAAGGTTTTGTTGGAGTTTATCTCAATATAACTCAAAACTAACAGGAAAAAATAGGAAAGAAAAAATCCCTTTTTGAAGCTTTTTTAATGGTTCAAAAACTGAATTAAAAATATATTCTAGTTCTAGTGTACTTTTATCAGGTTGTAGCAGCTTGATGACCTAAGAAAAGCTGCTAATGGATCCTTCAGCTTTATGGTTGGGGTCAGCTTAAAAAAATGATCAAGTATTTTTCCAATTACCCTTAAATAGGGAATTTGGGGCAGTGGTGCTGCTATCTGTAGCCCAAGTTATTATTTTCTAAGGCCATGCATGCCAGTTGCAGTTTTCATATAAGTTACATTTTTAATCCTATGTAAAATATATTACAGGGCTGTCACTAAGTTTGAACTAGAAGGCAACCAGGCAGACTAAGGACTATTCAAGGAACCTTGAAGCAAATTAGGATTGTGGTTTTAAAACCAGCTCCCTTTTTTTGTATATTTTGCATTTAATTCCCTACCAAAATTAGGAAATGGGTGTCTTGCATATTTCCTGGGCTGGTTTTTCAAAATTCATTTTTCTATTTTTCATAATCATTTATAGTAAAATGATGTGATGTAGCTGTCTAAAGGTATGGCAGACTAGGCTGTGGCTTGAGATGGCTACCAGCTCTTATTGACAGCTCTGTTGTACATTAGATGCATGTTATGATTTTGATGGAACTTAATGTTGTCTACAGAAAACAGTAGTGGCTGTGTTAGACCAGATGGTAAACCCTCACTGGCCATATCTTCCACAGCGACAAGAAAACTATGAAAACGAGGTAGAAAGAGAGGCAATTGAGGGAATCTGGAATTCAATTACAGATGATCCATTAAATTATCATTTTTATTATCATATTTTGGATGGAGATGAGGGAGGACGACCGCCAAAGATTATGGCCTCAGATGGACACCAGCAGATAGAAAACAAACATTTTAACTGGAGAAACAAGTCCTGTTTACATGCGATTGCAACAAGCAACAATAAAGTAGGATTAATTTTACAAAAGTTAAATGTAATGTCATTTTATAGTTATTTAGAAACAGTGGAAATTTTCAGAGTTACTTATTGGAGACTCAATTTGCTACTGTAGGAGTTGGACTCCCTGATCACTCCCATGACCCTATGTTTTTGGCAGAATTAAGCCAGCTTTTGACATTTACCTTTAGGAGGCTCTACAACATCCTGTGGTCAGGATGCTTATTAGAACAAAATGGAGAAGCCATGGACACTTCTTTCTCAGGTAAATCAGTTTTTTTGCAGCAAATATTTACACTGCTTCATCATTCTTACACACACAGTATACTTAATGTGATATTTGAATTTTTGCGCTTTATGTTGCCATGTTCTTTGATTCAGACTTCTTATTTCTCAGAGAATTGTAAAAACATATAGACACAAAAAATTTTTGATACCTTCAATTACTTTAAGGTTGTTATTTAAAAAATACTTGACAGGTTACCAAGAGATTTCGATTAAGGTTTTATATCTTTGTTTTGATCTCCATACACTTCCCTAATTCCCTGTCCCCATATTCTGCTGCATCAGAGATGATATTACTGCCTTTTTTCTGCAGCCTTCAAGCAGCATTGTATTGCATCTTCTTGCTGAGCATGTCATATTCTCTGCTGCATGCCACTACCAAACTGGACCCCACCCATTACAGTGGTGCGCTGGACTCACTGCGTGGATTTTGTGAGGTTGTCACTCTACTTATGGTTGTGTTTTACATCTGTGAGGAAATAAATCAAATGAGAATGTAAGTAATTTATATGGTTAGGGTGAAATCAGATCATTGTGTAGTGACATGGACTCTAGTCAATATTGTTAATTATTGTTCCACATTTACGCCATCTTACCATATTAGTAACGCACAAAATATGCCTCGTTATTACGCTGTAGAAGAGGGCAAAAATACGGACGGAAAGTGGAGCAACAAAATGGTCGCTCTGAGCTATCCAAAAAGTCTTTTTTTTTCGTTTTTTTAGTTCACATTTTTAAAAAACGAGCCATTAAGCGCTTCAGATTTTTTGTTACCCATAATAACACTTAAACGGTTTCATTTGCCTTTTCTCACGCCTTACACAATCGATACGAAGTTCAGATGGTTTTTTGTACCAAAAACCTGCATAGAATCCTAGAAGAGGAGCGGTTACTTATACTTATTGTCTGATTTCTTGAAGAGAGGGGCGTTCTTATTTCTCAGAGTGGATGACCTTGTTTGACTGGTTAGGCCTGCTGTTGATATTTTGTATAATACCCTTACGGTACATGGATCATAAAGCACAGTGGATGGTGACATCTTTAGCCTTCTTGTTCAACTTCCTGAGAATATTTAAATTTTCATGTGTGTCAAGGTAACCTACAACTCCCAATTGATTAATTTAGTTTGGAAAGAGCACTGATGAATTAAAACTCATTCCTTCGTCAATCTAACCTAACATTACATTAAATCTTTCTTAGGACTACAGGATTATACACACAAACCTTGGCTAAGATCATTTTACATGATGTCACAAGATCCATGGCAGTTTTCATTGTGATCTTTTTCTCCTTCTGTGGTGCCTTGACTTTATCACTTTGTTACTCCGGATCCAGTGAGAACCGAGAACTTTGGTGCGTCTCTGTTGAGTATATCTCCTTAACAAAGCTATGAAGTTGTACTGACAAAAATAATTTAGCCATCGTTTCTTACAAGTCAGTAATATATTCGAGAACTTCTACTGGAATTTGTTTAATTTGATCTGCTCTTTACTGGTTAGATTTTGTATTTATTCAAAGAATTCTCGCCCTTTTGCAAAAGAAATTTACTGGTGAACATAACGCGTGCAAAGCGCTAAAACCTAACATACTACTTTTAATTTTGATTTTGCTTTTAGTTGTCTTGGAGACGTTTTGTTGAGTGGACTTCGTGCGCTGTCTGAGCAGTATCCAATGGCGGAAAATTATTCATCTTTCAAGTAGGTGACATTATTCTTTAAAGATATTGCTTCTCTTTGCACGTAACGACTGCATCGACCTGAGTTTAAATGCAAGTTCAAGGAGGTCAGATACCTGATCTTTAATAAGAAATTAGGCCGGATTTGGCTATAGGCCTGCTGCACTGGATGATAAGTAACTTATGCATTCGTTTCTTGTAGTTTAGCTAAAGTTTGTAATCTTTCTTTCTGCAGTTGGCTGTCGGTTCTTTTGATGATGGCGTACGTGGGAACAGTGACAGTGATTCTGCTCAACATTCTCGTTGCACAAATGAGTACGACCTACTCACAGGTCAAGAAAGTCGCTCGTCTGGAATATGATGTGGATCGAATTTTACAACTCACACGCATGGAGAGATTTCCTTTTCTGGTAAATGTCCATCAGGCAATGCGACGGCGTTTTTCTTCAAATACACACCGACTTGTGTGTTTGAGATTACAAGCGATCGCGTAAATGTGCTGCGCGTGCGTACAAGAGTGAATGAGATAATGAACGGGGAGAAGTAATTAAATTCTTTTTCTTTTTTTTTTCTACAGAATTTACGTGTGAAGTATTACAAGGAAGGCGACTGGATCAGTGAAATGCAACTCGCTAAAGGTTAGTAATGAATTATTTGGGATTGTGACTGCCTAACTAGGCATGTCGTGTTTAAGTGTTGTTTGTTGAAATTCATTTGAGTCGTGGAGATTGCTAGGAAAACTAATATGGTTGCATCTGCGTGGAGAATTGTGAAAGCGAAAAGAATGGCTTCTCATGTTAAAAGCATATCTTTTGGTTGGCAAGAGCTATGGGGCTATTTGAAAGAACAGGTACTTCTAATATTCGGCGTTTCAATTTCAATTTCTCCCGGGGGAGCTGTAGAAATTTATGATCACTTGAAAAAGCTAAACATATCTTGCAATCCGGTGCTGTAATTCCTAGTACATACCATCCGTTTTGTTTTTTTAGAACTGCTTGAATTCAGTGAAGATCGCAATCCCTGGGAGTCAGTGGAAGAGAAACTTTATGACATCAGGTAAAAAATACTTTTCTTAGTATTAATTTCTGTATTGGCCTCATTAGCCGCTCAGAGAGTCCATTCGATTGTGATTTGGAGAACCAGAAGTGACAGTGACCAATTGAAATAAAGTTAAATTTTACTTTGAGCCAATGAAACTCAAAGTAAAACAAGCTAAGTGTCCGATGCACGGGAAAACGAGAGTGATCAAGTCCTGACTGGTGTAAATTTGGCATCTGATTGGTTAAAAGAGTGTTGCGGTTTTTATTGGACAAATCAGAGAGCGAAGAAAAGCAAACCTGAGTCGTTAAAGTCCCGGATTACTTTCGACACTCAATTGAAATTGTCTCTATGCTCGCTTGTGACTTTACCTTCTCACCCACCCCACTCACACACAATTTCTTTTTATACCTAAAGTTTTTTCTTATTGTGTGTTCCATTTGACAGGGATCTGATGAGAAAAATGGTCAAACAGATGAGGCCTGGACAAGAATAAACTGCTACAACAGGAATAATATTCTGTACCTTTCTCTAAGGATTTTCTTCCTGCTTGTAGATTTTTGTAACAACGTTAGACGTCTTTAAATATATTTTAAAAGGAAAAGGTAGGGTGATAATTTTTGAGAAGCTTTAGCCTATTTTAACAGGGGGCTAGAACTAAAACAGTTGTGGTTAAGATCACTCGGAGAAATTTCCACCTTTACACAATGCTGGAAATCAAAGAATAAAACTGAAAATGGGTATGAAAAAGTAGATTCATTTTTCTACGACAAGCGACGACAACCTAAGGCTACTAAATAGCTCCATACCGGGCGAAGGAACTTAAGCCGGTATGGTACGAAGATTGAACAGCTTAAAGTCAGCTTTTTGAACTTTGTTTCCTCTACGTAGATGTCTCATTTCAACAGTTGTCTGTAACCAGGCGTGCTTTTCTCGCAAGACCCGAAAATTTCTTGTTTTAAAATTTATCCGGTGTAGTTTAGACATGGCCTTTCATAATTAGTGATCTATGACATGCGTATGCATATGTAATGCTAATAGGTCAGTTGACCTACAAGCCAAAGCCATGCCTACGCCCTCTTAAGTTTTCAGTATCATTCTTCCAGTGTTTTTGTACACTGCTGTCTTAATTTCTTCAGCCATTCTCCGACCTCGTCATTTGCACGGCGAGTTTATTTGCGTAACTACCCAGGATAGATTAGTGAAGTGTGATATCCTTCATCTGTTTCTGCCCTTAATTCTTATATGTATCTAGTTAAATAATAATTTCATCTCGAAATGAGGTGTGCAATGCTTTAACTAACTTTAATTAATCAGACATAAATAGTTCATCGCTATGTAACCCCACGCTGAGACATACATTACTATTATTTTGCTAACTATACAATTCGTAATTCTCTCATTACAACAACTTTTACTAATTTAATTTTTAATTACTCACGCAGTATTCAGAAAAGTAGTATTCCACCTGTACTTTACCTCTGGTTTTGAAGAAAATTCTTGATCACAAACAACTACAATTTTCTTTTTACATCATAAATAGCTGTCAAACTTAACACGTTTGTGTTTCTTTTGTTCGTGTTTCAACAGTGAAAATTAGTGAAAACATTCTAACAATTCATTTGAAAAAAAATTTGAGGGAATAAAGCAGGTGGAATTTCCTAGGTTTGACCCACGGCGGTATGAAAAAAGTTCGATCCGATTTTTTTCCTGTCTATTTTGTCATTCGGTGAAACTGTTCAATTCTACCAATCTAGCACAGTTTCTCCTAGTACTCGTCTAATGCAATATTCCAGCTGGTATAACAGCGGGCCTTCTTCAATATTTTTGTCTTGTAGATCAAACATCCTCTTTCCCTCGAGGCCATTTGGAATCCAGTCATTCTTGGTTCGTTCTGTGAAGAAAACCATAACAAGTTTGTTCACGAGCTCTTTGTTTTCTGCGAACTCCTCGTGTAGAGCTTTGCCGTCAAAAGTGACGCAGTTGTCGACGGTTTCTTGCTTTTTGTTTTGAATGAAGGACGAAGCCTGGCGTGACCCGATCAGCACCACGCAGTCGTTATGGTGAAGTTGTCTCCTAAAACTCTGTTTCATGGCCAGAATGAAGCTGACGTTTCTTATGTCTGCAAGAGTTCGCAGCCTGATCTGTAAATAATCTTGAAGATCTTCAGCTTTGTCTCTGTCGCTTTCAGTATACAGTAGCAGAACTTTTTTCATTCTCGAAATTTCGAATAAACTTTCTCTCTCTCTCTCTCTCTGAATTCCTTACTGAAGGAGAATAACTCTAAGATACTTAAGCGCTCTGACTATATACCTCTAAATCAGTGCGCAATTATGGAGATGCGCTTTCAGAAGCAAATATATACCATATTCGAATGTGTTAAATGTGGGAAATAATCGATCCGTCTAAATTTTTTAAACATCACATTTTCACGTGCCATTGCTTCATCCAAACTTCGACAACAATTTTATTTTCGGCAAATATTTAGGCCGCGCCTTCAACATTTTGATCCCGAGGGATAGTCTTTTAAAAATAATTAAAGATGCCAGACATTCCGCGTCATATTTCGATGAATAAAGATGCGGTCTTTCTAATTACAGATTCTGGCCCTACTGGAATTGAGTTCTAGAACGAAACGGTGCATGTTAAGAAGTCTCTACGGCATCATATTATGTTTGCTGTCACGGTAGATTTAACACAAGGAAACATTCAAAGTCGTAAACTCTTATCATCTCTTCTTGCAGCAAACAATTGAAGCCCAGATTTGTCGAAACTTGTAAAACCCGCACGAAAATTACAAAATGTGTAAAAATCTAAAATCAGTGCAAATTTCACTTTTTTCATGCATCGTGCAGATAGTGTCGTTCTTCGTTTATGTCATTGTTTCAGACCTTTCGTCCTACTATGATACGCAGAACCATGTTCAGAATACTTTAAAAGACCTGAATACCCAAGAATCTCTCTCTCTCTCTCTCTCTCTCTCTCTCTCTCTCTCCATAGGTATCGTCTGGCACTTTTGTAACTTTTGCCTCCTTTTGCAATAATTTGCCCATTTTTACGTGGTAATGCACAACATGTTGTCAGTGGAAGCCTCTCACAATGAACCCCTTGCACACCAACATTAAACAAATAACTTTAAAATCAAAGAGATTGAGACGCTTTATTATGGCAAGGAGGTTACAAAAGTTCCCTACACCGTGGTAAGCACTTTTTAAAAAGCTTTCAGATCGATTTCTGTACGAAGTTGTAGCTATTACCATACCATTTATATGCCACACGATTCTCTCAATTACCACAGTAATTTGAATTCGAGATATTGCGGCCCAGAAAATTTTATCGTGTATGTATATGACTTTTCATATGCATGAAAAGAATCACGATTCGGAAATAGCCCGTTTTTTGCATCGCCAGTTTGAAAAATAAATTGAGTCACTTTGAATTAACCAGCATCCACGAAATTTTATGGGAAGTTTTACACGTCTCTTTTAAATCTGACAAAGAAAACGAAAAGTGAATTAGATGTTTTCTGATTTTTTGGTGAATTTTTTAGGTTACCCATGTCTCAAAACCGGCAAGGTTACAAAAGGTCCCTATTTGCTAGAAGTTCCAACAAGTGATTTCGGGTTAATTTTGTTGGAGATTGGGAACAAAAAGGGCAAACAATCTAGACATTTCTGCAGTAGAAATAAGTGATAAAACGCAAGGGAACCAGCACTGAGAAAAAAGGTTTATGCAACCTTGCCGCATATTGCGTTATCGGGGATAGGGATATATTGGCTTTACAGTTGAATGTGTGACTCAATGCATTGGTGAATGACCATGAAAGGTATACTGGGAAACGCTTCACATGCAAGAACGTTGCTTGTATGCTTTCCTACATACCGGAAAGGTATCCAAAAAAAGTGTTGTTAATTTAAATAGTGTGAGCGTTTATAGATTGATCACACCGTTTGTCAAACAACTACCCAAAGGATCCAGAAGAAACTAAGGCTCAAATTCAATCATGAATATCCTCAAAAACAACGGGAATGGGATGGACGCAATTGATTCCATTAAAAGACAAAGACAGCAACTAAAAGGCACTGTGATTAGTAGCGCAAAATATGATGCACCACGCCTGTAAGTCTAATTGTCTCAGGACCGCTCATAGTTGCCTTTTGCGTACATCTCGTGAACATCTCAGGAAATTGTTTTTAAATGGTTGGCCGGCCATTTCATCTCTGTTTTTATTTCAATTGTTCTTTTTGAGAGGAATCTTCAGAATTTTATTTAATTTAAGTGTCTACGGAGGAATATCCAGTAAGATTTTGGTTAAGATGGAAAGGGAGCGGCTAAATAAATGCTGACGTCCCCCTTTTCCTCTTGAACAATTTACATAAGTCATAAGTTATTAGTATTGCTCATTCAGGGATATACTAAGAAACCATCTACTTTTCTATGGGTTTTTGGGGTAAATTTTTGGTGACTTCATTTTATCATTCTCGGTTATTTTGAATTTTTCGAGTAGCTCAAAAAGCGCGGTAGTTCAGCTCGAAAGCACGCTCGCACTTGTATACTGCACTGCACTGCACTACACTACTCTATGCAATTAATTTGAATCACTTTTGGTAATTTTTTGACCTCTGCATTCTTAAAAAATGAACAAAGACAATATATTTGCTTTTAATTGCTGAAGAATTAAGTCGCACATCTCATACATGCACTTTTACCGAGAGTGGCTCTGTAACAGTTGCTGTGTAAGTGCAGGGTTAATCGAAACTCGAAACACTGTTGAACAGACTGCTCACTTCAGTTAACTAGAGTGGAAAGCAGCTATCAAAGATAACTAACAGGCTATTTCACGGGGAAATAGGACGTCATCATTTGTGGCCATGAACTGAACATTGTTACCACGCCCCCCCCCTTGATTCGCACAGCGATGATTACACGTCAGACCCTCATACACAAAGTGCCTGTGAGGCTTTGGTTGATGACCACGTGGAGGTTGTTTGTTTTTCATTTTTTTTGTGTGATTTATTTAAGGATTAGAAGAAAAGAATAAAAAATCAGCGGTAATCTTTGCCGTCTGCCGTAACCGTCATGCTTAAACTCTCTAATGTTAAAGACACGTTTCGTTGAGTTAATATTAAAGAAAGAGGTAATAGAATGTTTTTCAATACTTTTTCAGCAAAAAACTGAGGTAATTACAACAGCCAATGGTTGTTTACTTGAACAGCGCAATGAACCAATATTAAGCAGTTAGGACCGAGCGCAAAAGAAATCATTCTAGCTTTGTAACAGAGATTTTTTTCCTTAAATAAATTAGCGCGCGGTTTTTATTTCAAACCACATCAACTCAAAGGAGCATCAATAACTTTTGAAGTTGACAGCTCTATTGCTCATGATTCTGACCCACTAATTTAGGTGTATGTGAGATTGTTTGTTGTTTTAGCAAAACGTTGCAGTTGTCGAGACATACCCAGAAAGCCGCTTCTGTACGAATTGTTCTTTTGTTTGCGTGGGTGACGCAATGTTTGGAAAATGTTTTTTCTTATGGCAAAAATTGCACTCGGGTGATATGACGACACTCCATTTAGGGTAATTTTTAGCGGATTCTTAACACACATTGGTGGCGCGATATTTCCAAAAATCATATCATCTTTACAAGCCAAAAAATACATTTTTCTAGCTGAGGCTTTAAGGGTTACCTTTAAGGGAATACCTTAAGGGGAAATGTATGGCACTTCATGTACGTTGCGTTTATTACTCCTCTTTTCACGGTATGTCTTGCCAACAATTTGACTTGAGAAAGCGCAATCACATTTATTGCTACAAAGATTGTAGAATTCAACTTTACTTGTATCCAGTAAGCTCGAATAGCCAGTAAGCTCGAATAGCCAGTAAGCTCGAATAGCCAGTACGCTCGACTGTGAAAATTTCCATTTACGTGTATTTTCTTTAAACAGAGGGCAGAATATGGGCAACTAAACAAGCCCGCAAGTTTATCACATCCCATCAGCATCAATAAGCTATTTACTTTGTTGTAGTTGATTCCTATGAAGTAAAGGAATATGTTCGTTCCAGTTATGTTAACAAGAGTAACTAAATTGCACCTTGTTCTTTTAAAAATTGCAATGATAAAATTACTTAAAATTTAATTTGTGTTTGCGCCGAATTTCGTTTTCCCTTGGATCATCCCCTTTGCTTGCGTTTGTGCTTACGCTTGTGCTTGCGTCGCTAGTAAAACCAGGCTTAAACGACCCTAGTCAGCCTCCGCCATTTTCGATGCCATCGAAATTATTGATATTACACGGTGAAGCAAAATCTTAATGCTTTACTGTCAGTTGTGCTCCTGAAAGTATGTTTAATTATCTTTAGTAGTTTCACAGTGATTTCCTTCATTTCGACATGCTCCGAATAAAATATAATAGCCAAACTCTCACATGGAAACAAAAACAAAGGTGTGCCTGACTAGGGCCCTTTAAAAAAACGGGAACAAAAGAATCAGTTCGAGGTGGCAAAAATGGCCACAGTTACAAAAGTTCCAGTTTGTTACGAAAGTGCCCTATACTGTTACAAAAGTGCCCCAATTAGGTTACAAAAGTGCCCTGGGTTACAAAAGTTCCCTACCTTGGTTACAAAAGTTCCCTATCGGGTTACAAAAGTTCCCTTTTTTGGTTACAAAAGTGCCCGTTCCTATGGCTCTCTCTCTCTCTCTCTCTCTCTCTCTCTCTCTCTCTCTCTCTCTCTCTCTCTCTCTCTCTCTCTCTCTCTCTCTCTTTCTCTCTCTCTCTCTCCAACCAGATTGATGCTCTCATTTATGTGTCTGATCTTAGGGTTAAAATTTTCGGTGTAACAGGAGGTGCTCCGTCAACACTAGCCACAATTATTTATTTCCAGTCAACCGCAAAAACTGCCTGAAAAATGCTATTTATTATGATTTACAAAGTATCTACTTGCCTACTATATATTTTTATAATATGACCGAGTATCTGCGTAGTTAGTTGAAAATGGCATTTTTATTGCGTTGCGACTGGATGCATGCGTGCTTACTTTAATCTCCTCTCGATTTCAGGAGTTTTATGTCAACCCATTTTTTTTATCCCCCACTCCTCATTTTATCTCCTGCTACGGAAGCCACGGCCGAAAGTAACTCGTTTCATACCCAGGAATTAGCAAAATTTTCAAATGGCGGCGGACTGGTTACGTCCATGCTTCAGGGGCATTTTGCTGCGCATGTCCGGTAAATTTTGGTTTGATACTAGAAACCGCTGGTATGCGCCTGCGTCGGTTTCCCGCTCGAGAAACGCGAAAGAAAAGAAGCTGTAAAATATGTCGGGAAAAACAATGGTTCGAGTATTTGAGACAACCTTTCTTCTCATTTTTTCTTCTGTAACGTAGATGGAAGCAGCAAATCCTTGAAATTATTGTATTACACTACTGTAGTATATTGTGTGGAAGGAAATTACTTTCAGAATGCAAAAGATTGTTCGAGTCTTGTCTCGTGATTGTCTGGGCGATCGATGAAGATGACGTTATTTTTGAAGGATGCAAGTGGCCTGTCGAAGAGTACAAAAGAATTGGACAGTATAATTTTATCGTGTCATTGCTATCTCAAATTATCGGTGATCATTTGAAGTACTCGCCTTTCTGTAAGCGTCTTTTAGAGCTTCCACTGTACTGCTAGTGTGTACCTCCAATTTTCGCAAAAATGTAAAGTTTACAGAGGTTTATGTTTTGTTTCAAAAGTTTTTTTTTAACATGAATTACAACTGGCAGGGCCCATTACCAAAATAAAAAAGGTCAATGTCGAGTAAAGAAAATTAAGACAATGCTAATGCTAGAGATATGGTAGCTCCATCTGGTTAGAAATGGAGGAATAATTATGGATTTTATCAGAGTAAGATGAAGTATTTTCAATAATTAGTCTTGGAAATATCATCAGGTATGATCGATGATGTGGGGAAGTTGTGAATGAAAACAAGTACTAGTTTGGGCTTCCAGTTGTAAGATGAATAGTTAAATAAATCAATTATTACCCAGTAAAAATCACTATCATTTATCATTTCAACTGCACAAAAAAATCGTATACACTCTTTGCAACCTTATTCTCTAACCTAGTAAATTACAAGAGTTGTGTGACAATTTGACGGTCTGGAAAGACTCTTACACATGCCAAACAACAAAGAACCGGTAAGGCTGATATTTGATAGTGAGGATAAAAAACAAAATATTTCCAAAAGCCTTTTCTTTTCAGGAATAAGACTTAGTGAGGTCAGATTAAACCATTGTGAAGAGGTTTGTTGATCTCTTTATGAAAATGGATGCTTTACATCTATCAGATTTTAGAGAAATGAGACTTAAGTCAAAAGGGGACTTTGACATTGCATATTCTGCAATAATGGGCATTGGCTTGGATGCCTATTTGCAGAAATTAAGAGTTTTCAAGCCAGGGGTTTGGCTGTGCTAATTTTAAGGCAGAAAAATCATAAATCAGTCACTTAAGAAATTTTATAGCTCTCACTGGAAGCTCAAATACTCTTAAGGAACAGGACAATATTTCACCTGATCACTCCTCATATTCTTTTCCCATGAAATTTGGACAAAACTTTCAAAAAACTTTATTGGTAATTTTACAGTTGCAAAAAAGGTATAGAAACAAGTTGCATATAGCATAAGCTAGTTGAGGCAAGTTGTGTGGAGAGAACAAAAGATTGATAATTTATACCAGTGGTAAGCTTCTGGTACTAATGACATTCTCTTGAATGCCAGCTTGCCACAGCAAATGTCACACCTATCCTTTCTGTCAATAGTACCGACCATATGTAGTGGAGTCACTTCACATCTCCCTAAACAGCAGTGAACATAATAGTTAATTCCAATCATCAGTCTCAATTAAGAAATAAAATTTGAAGGATCAAGACTTATCTGGCAAAGTGAAATACAAGTCAAACTGGTTTGAAGACATTTTAACCCGAAATTCGTTTTTAAATATGACAGAAATACTGTAGTTCACATTCTAAAGAAACAAGGAGTTCCAGCCCCTTGAGTAATTATTCATTTGTTGTATCGCTCATCTCATGTTTTAAGAACCAGAGAAAGTTAAATAATTTTAATCTGCGAGTTTTATATTACACTTCGACTCAAAATTCATTTCGTATGGCAGAAGTATTCTACTGAAAAATAAACAAGATAGAATGAAGCTGACGCCATCCGTTTCGAATAACATATGAACATGAAGAAAACGGCACCAGTTTAAACTCATGAGACAAAGCCCACGCATTTTTTTGAGGTAAATGAACTGGTTAGACCGAAAGCTAAATAAATAAACAATGAACTGACAGTGGTGAGGGATTTGGGGGCCATGTGATAAAACAAGTTCTACCGAAGTTTATCCTCTAGTTAGCACTTCAAGCCCAAAAGGGCCATCAAAAAATTTCTCACCAAAATACAGCAACAAAATTAGATAAAACCGGAGATGATCGAGGCAAGAGTATAAACGTTGTTAAGACACATGCCTACATACCAAGTACAACAGACTCGGAGAGCAAAAAGGCCAAAGACAGTTGTGAGCCATGACTTAGAAAATCCACCTCAACCTCTCAAAAACGAATTCGCCGAAGGTTGTAGAAAGAGCAACTCAATCCTGAAGCTGGAACATTTTTTTAAGCCTTGTGTCCTATGGGACAACAAAGAGAATGAAGAGAAGATGTTATTTGAAGTGATTTGAAGCTTGGGGGCTACCTCGAACTTAACGTAATTTTATTTCGAAGTTGAAGTAAAATAAGATCAAATTGTAAACTACCTTCTATTATCGTAACGAATATCTCACGATCGCCTCCACACATCACTTCGTGATTCATAGAAGTAAGACATCAACATCTTAAGACTAACCCTCAAGGTTTGTAGTCTCGTGCACATCTTGATCGTCAGCAAATCAAACCTCAAACTTCCAGTTTTCGACCTTTTTTCGCGTTTTGTTCACACTTTGATCATTAAAATATCCTCATCCGAAGAGCCAGCAAACTCCACAAGTATCCACAGAGTTAGAAATGGTGGTAAACTTGTCATACTCTTCCATCCCTCTCCAAAAAATATCACAGAAAGGTGTCGATCGCTCAGTTGAAAACCCGCAAAAGCGCGCTGAAAATATCAAAATGGCACCGAACGCGCCGAACAAATTTCCTTGGCGCATGCGCAACAAAATGCCTCTCTGCTTAATTGCGTCAGTTTCCTCAGTCACCCTAATTCAATTCAGTGAAGAGCAGTGAAGCTCGAGATACTTCATGAAACATCTAGCTGAGATATGGCTGGTGACAATCCAAATGATTTGGAAATGGGTAAAAGTGAGCTAGAGCTGACAGAGCGTGATCGGAAAGCAAACGAAGATAATCAAGAAAGTCATGCTGAAGTTAGTCATCATCAAAAGGATTTCTTAGAAGATGAATTGGACGAGGAGTTCTGGATTGAGGTAACAAATTTGCGTGCTGTAGAAAAACAAATTTTTGCTAATGTGTTTTTCTACTATTTTTGGTTTCCTGTAAAGATTGTTGCTGAAAACTAAACATTTTGTGGATGGTGGCAGTTCGTTTTTATTTTTTCCGCCAGGGGTTGCGAACCATCCTTTGTGTAAGTTCGATTGCCACCCGATAGAGTAAGGTTAAAAGGTCTGTAAGTACTTCATGACAGCAAATTGGATATTTGAGATCCAACAATTTCTACTCCCAGCTACTCTCGTAAAAACACCTTACATCGTTACTGTTAGATGTAAAAATAGAGCCTTGAAGGCCATGGATTCTTTCCTGTCAACCAATTACAAAAATTTGATCTTCTTATCAAAGGTACGTCAAAAGCAGAGTGAAGGCTTTTCTTGGAGTGTTGCTATGAGTGAAGTGCGGATTAAAAGGATGATTCAGAAATACAAAGATAATGGGGAACTGGACAGTGAGGATCCAGCACTCTTGATGTTAAAAACGTGGCCAGCATCTGGAAAATACAAAGATAATCCCGATAGACTTCCAGGCCTTGAACAACTGGTTTGTATATTTTAACAACTCATAAACGATTCCATTTTTTTAGGGGAATTTATTAGCTTACTACAGAGCAGTGCTCCGACAATAACGGAATTAAATCATGTGTTTTTCCTTTAACTTGGTCTGTTTAATTTGACGTGTGAAAATTTTTTTGACCTATGGCTCTTTGTCCTAATCAGTGATACAGTTTTGATTTAGATACATTAAATTATAGTTTATGTATTGTTAAAAAGTCGGAATTGTTACTTTTTTATAACATACTTCCATTTCAGGTATGGGACTATTTTTTTCCTTTTCCACTTATATTTATATGAACAACTAAGCTATTGCAACCATCTTACCCATTTTGAAACATTCAAGAAAGAAAGTGATAAACTCTACAACTTACAGTTTCAGAATGTCCTTTTATGCAATAGCTGTTTTAATATTATGCAGTTTAAGCTCAATGCATTATTGATAATTTGAAGTACAATTTCATGAATCAGTTCCAAGAGCAGATGATTCAGGCTGGTCAATTATGCCTGGTTATGATATATCCTGAAATATTTACTGACTCATAGACTTTACTATGGTGCAATTTTTGTGTGACTTTACCATTTTGGACTTTCATTTGGCAGATTAATCAGCTTTTGGAGATTCTGCTTGAAAGTGAACTGAACTTTAGAAACAGATACCAGATGTTTCGAGACAGAGGACAGAAATCGAGGAAGACTTTGATGCATTATGCTGCTGAGCTTGGCTTCTTACATGTCACCAAAACACTTGTGAAGAAATGTCCTGGACTGCTAGCTGTGATGACAAGAGAACCCTACAGGGAAAAGCAAGGCCTGTTGCCCGTTGAGTTAGCCTTGTTAACACAGAATGATGATGTGACAGCATATTTGATCCAATTAATGAGTCATAACAGGTATGCATGCACGTTCCTGAGTAACTTTATCAGACAGTTCAGGAGTTTCCAGCACCTGAGGTGGAGCTGGGTTTTAAAAGACCAAAAAAATATTTTGAAATGATATGTGGAAGTTATTAACATGATAATGCTTGGCAAAGATTTTTATCAAAGGGCTGGCATAATGTGCAGATTGCTTATAAAATCTTTGAAAAGAGGGCTGATGGATGTTATGGAGGAACTCAGTAATTGACTTTGAGTACTTTAAAACCATTTCCATTATATAGTTATGATCACATTCTGAATTTCTTTGAAATGAAACTGGAGGGTAAGTTAAATTGAATAAAAATTTACAGTTATCACCTTCACAAAGTGTGGAATGGAAAGGGAATTCAAAATACAATGGGAGATCTTCATTTTCTCAAGTTTTTTGAAACTTAAAGGCAACATGTGGCTACTAGACTTTCTGTTGATGAGTTTGTATTTCCTTGGTTATTAGAGCACAAATTTTATTTTCTTGGATACCAGAAGATTTGACCAATCCTCAGCCATCTTTATTCAGTTTCAAGTCCATTATAGAAAATCCTAAGATGAAGGTAAGCATTTCTACAGTTATCTAATATAGCAGTTCAATACTTTTTTTTTTTTTTTTTAAGTATCAGGACAGAAAAAAAACCATAGAGCCATTGATGAGGATTTTATGAATTCTTGACTCTAGAAAGAAACTTGACTAGGTGATGATCTAATACTAATATACATACACTATATGCCTTTCATGTGCATATCAGTATACTGAAATGTATATACATGCTATACATAAATATGATGCAAACTTGTGGCTGTAGTTTTTTTTGAAGGTATATATAGGTATAATGTTTTTTTTTTTCCTGTCCTTGTGATAATAAAAACAGAAAACAGTAGTAGCATTACTGGACCAGATGGTGAATCCTCACTGGCCACACCTTCCAAAACGCAAGGAGAAGTATGATAGTGATAAGGAGAGTGCTGGAATTGAAGGGGTCTGGAGAACAATACCAGATGATCCTTTGGATTATCATTTTTACTATCATATTTTGGATGGTGATGAGGGAGGACGACCCCCAAAAGTTTTTATGCTAGGAGGACAAGGACTGACAGAAAACAAATATTTCAACTGGAGGGACAAGTCTTGTTTACATGTCATCGCTAAGAGCAGAAATTTGGTAAGGTTGAGGTTTTGAAAGGAGAAATTATTCTATGTGTGGTTATCCTATGTTTGGAGATATGCATGCAGGAGTTATCCAAAATATTTGGTTCTCTAGCTTGTTAGATCAAGGGGTTGTAGCAACACTCTCAGATTTTTGGGCTCATTTGCCAAGATTCTGGCTTTTACTTATGTTTACCAGCTCATCTAGTTGAAATGTTTTCATTTGGTGCAGGCAACACAATGTTTTGCTGTTCCAGTTGTAGAAGACTCATATTCTTGCTTAGACATTTCCTCTTTGGTTTTGTGATTTTCCAGGAGGCCCTCCAACATCCTGTGGTCAGAATGTTGGTTAAAGCAAAATTGAAAAGTTATGGACACTTCTTTCTTAGGTGCATGTAAACCCAGAGGGAAAAAATTGGGTTACCTAAGATTGTTCTATTGAAAAAAAAAAGAAATAGAAATGACTGTGTTGATCCAATCTGCTAGGAATGTATTAGAGCAAAAGAAGGGTTTAAAGTGGAATTAAAGAGGAGAAAGAGAGACTGAGGTTAGAGTAAGGATTCCTGGCATGTTCCAATCCATCTGCCAAATAATGGATTTTTTTAGATGCCTGGATATGGCCTTTAGATCGTTACTGCAAAAAGCTGAAATGAAGCACAAATGAAAGCATTATAATGTATACTTGTAATGTAAAATTTAGTTATACTTATTAATAATGTTGCTATTTATTACACAGCCTTCAAGCAGCATTGTATGTGATCTTCTTGCTGTGTTTGTCATATTCTTTGCTGAGTGCTTCCACAGCAGGGGACCCCATCCAATATGGGGGGGAAGCTGATTCACTGCGTGGATTTTGTGAGATTTTCACCCTTATTATGGTGGTCTTTTACATATGTGAAGAAATTAATCAAATGAGATTGTAAGTATGCAATTCCAGTGAGCGTAAAATCAAGTGTTCATGTAGGTTGATATAGATTAGGGAAGACTTGGTAGTAGTTTAGAGGTGGAATTAATTACTACACAACCAACTTTGAGCGTTTGCCTTTTGTCAGATTGAGTAGAGGTGATGGAATTGTTAGGTCATGGTAAGGTCATGGTAAGGTTAAAAAAATAAGAATGAATTAATTGAATGAAAAGTGTTCTTTGCAAACCTTGAATCTGTCTGATTTCCCCTAGAGAGGGGAAGTCGTACTTCACAGAATGGATGACCCTGTTTGACTGGTCAGGCCTGTTGCTGATCCTGTGTATAATACCCTTACGGTACACGCAAATTAAAGCCCAGTGGCTTTTGGCATCTTTAGCTTTCTTGTTCAACTTCCTGAGGATCTTTAAGTTTTCTTGCTTGACAAGGTAAAATGCATCATAAGCTACGTTTGATAGGTTTGAGAGAATGTCAGCAAATTAGAACAAGAAAATCGTATCTGTGAAACTTACTCACACAGTTGGCTTAGGTTTGGATTTTGGTTAACAAGCCTAATTTATAATTAGTGCAACCCCACCGTCTTGGCACCTTCATGATGGAAATTTGGAAATTTTTAAAACGTCTCAACGAAAAAAAGGTACAGAATAGAAAGATTAAAAAAAGCGTCCAAGGAGAGGAGACAGACGGGAGTAATGGAATTAAAAGAATAAAGAAGATGGGAAATTTTGTTAAAAAATCCCAATGCTTTCCATGGAGACGACGCATGGCAACGTATCCACCTCACCTGAAATTTTATTAGAAGACTGTTGAAAACTGTTATATTCTTATTTAGTATAATTCGAACATCATTATGTATCACATAACTTGTGTCCTTAATGTAATAGAACCGTGTATATTTTTTTTCAGGACAACCGGATTATACACAAAAATCTTGGCTAAGATCATTTTGCACGATGTGACAAGATCCATGGCGGTTTTTATTGTTATCTTTTTCTCCTTCTGTGGTGCTTTGTCTTTATCGCTCTGTTACTCCGATGAAAACCAACAGTTTAGGTATGTCTTAATCTTGCTTGCTTAAATGCTACTGAATAATGTGTTGAATTATTTGGTTGGCTGATGTTTACTCTGCACTATCTGCGAATTTTAGTTGGATGAAATGTATATGATAACACCTGAAGTGATATGAAATTTCTGTTAATGTGTTGCAGATCAGTCTATGTGTTACAGTCCATGCTAAATCCATTTTTTTTTACATTAGTGACTTCGGAGATGTGTTATTGAGTGGCTTTCGCGCGCTCTCTGAACAAAGACCAATTGCTTACGATTATTCAAATTTCAAGTGAGTTGATTTTTCTCTAAAAGGTCGAATATGTTTTTACTCCGTTTACTTGTTCAGATCTCTTTACCTTAAGATGAGTTTATTACCACTAAGATAATAGGTGAAAATAACCACGTAAGAGCATTTGATTTATTCCTTGCAGCTGGCTCTCCATTCTGTTAATGATGGCCTACATGGGGATCGTGATAGTGATTCTACTCAACATTCTCATTGCACAAATGAGTACGACCCACACGCAGGCCAAGAAAGTCGCCCGTCTGGAGTATGATGTGGATCGTATTCTACAACTCACACGCATGGAGAGATTTCCTTTTCTGGTAAATGAACATTCTTCGCTAATGGAATTGTAGCATTTTATCATTAAGCATGCACCGGTGTTCGTGATTGACGCTAAGTGGCAGCGTGCATTAGCGCCATACGTGACTGTGAGCGTGAGGAGAAGAACGTACCGTTAGGGTAGGAGGGGGCTTAGGTATAGTTGTATTCTTCTGCAATTGAGGGGTGGCCTCATAGACTTAATTACTTTTACATCTTTTCTTTATGCAGAATCTACGCGTGAAGTATTACAAAGAGGGAGACTGGATCAGTGAAATGAAACTCGCCCAAGGTCTGCGTGAAGTATTTAACCAGGACTACTTTCACGATAATTTTTATGCGTAGCAATCGGGAAAAACAGTTTTTTTTTAGTCTTGTATCCTATTTGTACTTCTCTGAACGAAGGGAGATGAAGAAGACCTTCGGCTCAGTTGATACTCAGTTATAATAGAAAAGGAATAATCTTTCTCGTGCCTTAACAGCTGTAAGGTTCTTTATCTTCCTAAATGTGATCTTGGTTTGTTTGTAGATCTTCTTGAATTCAGTGAAGATCGCAGCCCTTGGGAGTCGGTGGAAGAGAAACTTACTGCGATTCGGTAACAATTAATTGCTTTATCGTATTTCCTATCTTTCCTGTTATCGGCCTAATTTTTGAACTCGTTCTCTCATTACTGGACTTTCGAAAAGACCTACTTCCTTGTACTCATCCTTCTTTGTTTCAGCAGTCATGTTTCACACCTTCTGTTTTATTTTCTTGTACAGGGATATGATGAGGAAGATGGTGCAACAGATGAGGCCTGGAATCGGATGAGTGGAGCTTTGTGTGCCCCAGTCCCCTTTTTATGCGCCGATTTCTTTAGTCATTTGACTCCTAATTTTTATACAACGTTGACGCCATGAGATTGGTTGAAGGCTCTGAGCTTTATCTGCTTCTTTTCTTATTTGCTTTCTGTGGTATCTTCGCAAGGAAACCAAAAGAAAGGCCAATGAAAACAAAGTGAGTGGACATAAAGGGACCAGTCAGTTCTAAAAGCCAAGCGTAGTATAACATGCGTTTAAGCAAATCGGTTGTAAATAAAGTAAAAACGGAACAAAAAAAGAAAACACCACCGAGCTTTCTTGAAACTGTTTGAAAAGCTTCATTTTGTATCCGACACTCTTGACAGTAAACTTACGTGTGCTTAACACTGTATGGTTATGAAAAATGAAGGTCGGCTTTGAGAGAGTTAGTATATAAAAAGTGCTAGTTTTTGCTTTGTTTTATGTAACCACAATACTTCTCCCACAGAAATATTTACGAGATTGGAGGGTTAATTAGGAGATATTTAGTTTATACAGGTTCTTTTATTTATCATTTTACCACGGATACTTTTATTGAAAAGTGTAGCGTACATTGGATGAAAATAAATAAAATCAACAGGGACTATTATGGGAAAGACTTCTTTGGGTTTCATTTCGAATAGAAGATTTATCAGTAGCATTTTGCAGATTTGCTACGTCGTACTGTCAGTCCTACTGACTTCAAAAACTGAAATAAAGAGCCTCATCGTAATCTTAATGGTGTTTATGTATGCAGTAGGAAGTCAAGTGAAAGGTCCTGAGGTGTATAACTGGAATACTTGACTTACACAGACGCCCTCTCAATACATTACCATTAAAAAAAAGCTTCGGATGTAATCAACGTTAAAGGTCTCGGTTCATGTTAGAACTTCTTTTGAAAAAACAAAACAAAACCAAAAAAAAGACAATTAAAACAAGTTAACAAACACTACGTCGATAGTAGGTCAAGAGGTTGTCAGTCTACGGCACTCGAGAGAAAGAATTGAAATCACTCGAGGAGAATGAATCATCTGTCGCACACATGAAAGCTTGGTCCAATATACCAGAAAACATATAATCCGCAATGAGTAGCAAAGCCTCAGCGGGCTCTATTTTCGAATTTTGGCAAAAAAAAATTATATTTATCTCCAGTTCTCCCCCATCTTAATATTGCCTGGTGTTAACAAAATAGGTTACTTAATTTTTTGCAACACTTTTTTTAGGGGGAAAAAAAGGGACTTTTAAGTCACTTATTAGACATGGATTACAAGATATCTGTTTATTATGTTTAATACATGGAGGGTTGTCGACTACCCACTTAAGGGAGGCGTTCCAACTGCTTTTGCCACTCAGTGTAGCTTAGCCAATCGCCTCAGTAATGAGGCCGTAGATTCTTTTGATTGAACTTACTAGTGCAATAGGATTATTTCAAAGGGGCTCAATAGTTATCCATGAGCAAATAGGCTTAACAGTCTTTTTAAAAAACTTTGCACCTGTCGAATGATCGTTTCATTTCCAATTTTACTGCGATGCGAAACGTAAAAGAATCAGCCTTTTTAGGTTTATCATTCTCTTTTGGGGCTTTAAGTAAGGCTGAGGTCCTACTATCCATCTATTTTTGTGAAATTTTGATTTTATATTGCATATTTTTACCTATATCAACATTAGCCTAATTATAGGTAGCCACCTGATTCAGACACGCATAGCTCTATTCGCTATTCGCTAACCTCTGTAACTAGAGATATATTCAGAAAAAAGCCTATACCCGGGAAGGAGTATTTGAATTATTTTTAGCGTTTTGAAATTCCAGAGAGTTGTTTATCAAGGAGAAATACATTCCCTTCAATGGTTTCAATAAATGCAAGGCACTTTCACGGGCAAAAGATATGAGTTTGTCATACACACTGAGATGGATCGCTCACGCATTTTAAATAAGTAATTGGTACTGAACCAAGGCCTAACTGGAAAAAATTATCAGTGAAGAGAGTTTTAACGAGTATTGGGTTAGCAGTTACCGTGAGGAAGCCACCCTATATTGCCATATGATGACAATAAACAAATCTAACAGATGAGGAAAAACAAACGGGAACATTTCAAAAAGACATGCTCCCCTTCTTTGGCTGGAGGACTACAATATAAGACAATTTATTTATCAACAGTCAACATTCTCCTTCTCATCACAGCATTTCATGGCAATTTTCTTATCCTTGTTGCCCTTCACAGGGAATCTTCCCTTCATCCACCGTCCAAACACTTGTATCGTTGTCTGGCAGCAACTGATCTGTTGGTTGGTCTTGTTAGCCAGCCCTTCAATGCTATTTATTGGATGCACTGTGGTTCACAAACGATACTCAAGGGACGCAGCCTACATAACAAGCTATGCATTATGTGTAGCTCTGTGATGACGATGGCGGCTATAAGCTTGGACAGACTCCTCGCCCTGTTGTTGTGGCTTTGAAGCGCACATATATTTAGGTTTTATCTGATGCCGCTGTTTTGAGCTTCATTTTAAATTACATTTGGTATACTCACGTAACCAGGCCATCTTACTTATTGATATCAATCACTTCGTACACAAAGATTTTTGGCGCACTTAGTCATCACATATATTGTTTGAACTGCCTTTTGGATTGCAGCTGCTGTTGCTGCTCTATGTATCATTTTTGATCGCCGTATAACCTTTTTTATGACATTCTAATTATACCATCTTGTCTGGTTTTCACTAGCCTCGTACTCAAAGATCTTTAACACTCTCGGTCGTCATGACGCTTGAGTACAAAATCACGTTCAACATCAGCAAAGCCAACTAAACGCACCGAACGCAAGTACAGTTATTTTTTATTGTTTGTTTTGTGCCATATGGTGTTATGGAAATCGTTACCAGCTATAACAAAACATATTCATCACATGTAGCTATCTTTTGGGAAATAGCAGTTTCCATAGTTTACTTTAACTCAACGTCAAACCCGTTGAAGTAAGAAAAACACTGAAGCAGATAATCAGACAAGCTCTCTGCCGTCCATGGACTTAAATCCCGTTTGAGTTTCAATGGCCGTATTGCTTTACAAAGTTACGGTTACATTAGATATTCGATTTCATTAGCGTGCAAACTGTTGTTGGTATGATCTATTTCCATATGAAAGACAACGAACGATAATCTTAAACATCCCAAGCACATCATTGTTGAAGTGAAGACACTTATCTTCGATACAACAAAAGATGAATAAGGAGAAAAGCCTCTTGCACGTATGGTCTAGAAACAATTGCTTAAGTGATACCAATCCTCAATGAACGTTAACCGAGTAAAGAGGGTTTTCTTCATCATACTATTCAAAGATGATGGTGACGGAAGTCTTCAAGCTTGCCTCTCAATTCTTATTGATACCTGAGGCATATGGAAAATTCGTGGAACAAATTTACCTTTTTTGACACCCCACACGGTGTTTTTGTGTATTTCAGCTAGACAGGTGCTTTTAAGAACAAAAATCTCTCGATCGTTACAATTACAAGTAACCGTAAGGGAAAACGTACATCGTTTGCAGAATGATGGCGGCAACAAACTCAACGGAAGATGGAACGCAGATGAAAACATTTGAAGAACTTGTATGTTCCTCTTCTTCGGAGGGCGAATTGCGACAATACTCCTTGCGTCTGTCAGCAGTCATCATTTACTTTTCCCTTACAGCATTTCTTGGGAATGCCCTGATTGTCGTTGCACTTCACAAGGTGGCTTCCCTCCATCCGCCGTCCAAACTCCTGTACCGTTGTCTGGCAACGAGTGATCTGTTGGTTGGTCTTATAGGCCAGCCTCTCACTGCTACTCTTTGGATGTCGGTTGTTTTCGAACAGTGGAGACTTTGTCGATTCGCATGGGTAGCAGCCTCCATTTCAGGGTATGGATTATCTTTTATATCTTTGTTGACACTGGCAGCCATGAGCGTGGACAGACTTCTCGCCCTGTTGTTGGGGCTGAGATATAGACAAATTGTAACTTTGAAGCGCACATACATCATTGTCGTTGCTCTTCGGATTGTAACCGTTGTCGCTACTCTATGCGAGGCGTTAGGCTCTCATATAGCGCCCTGGTTCGGTCGAATTGTCATCCCATGTTGCCTATTAATCTCGATTGCTTCATATGCAAAGATTTTCCGCGTTCTTAGTCATCGTCAAGCTCAAGTACAACATCATGTTCAACAACAGCCGAGCCAACCAAATGCACTGAACATGGCGCGATACAAAAAGGCAGTGTACAGTGCACTGTGGGTGCAGTTAGTGTTACTTGCTTGTTATGTGCCTGTGAGTTTAGTGGGAATTGTGATGGCTCATAGAAAAGGAAATTCATCGCATTTAGTCGTCGCTCTTGGAATAGCGAATACTCTGGTTTATTTTAACTCGACTTTAAATCCGTTTCTTTACTGCCGGAAGATTAGTGAAGTAAGAAGAGCAGTTAAGCAGACAATCAGACAAGTGCTTTGCTGTCCACTGGGTTAGATCTTCCATTATACTCTTTTTTAGTTGTTTCAAGCGAGTATGTAGTGTGACGATGCTATTAGGTAACGCATCCTGTCGGATATGTCATTTCATCATAACCATTATAATTTCCTCAAATGTGATTGGTGCATTAACTGCTTTATTTTTTGCTAATCATTCTGTAGAGCTGTAATCGGACAGTTGGCTGTAGTCGGACACCTGTAATCGGGCAGTTGAAGTAGTCAATCACACTAAGTCCACTCATCCAAATCCACCAATCACAGAATTAAACACAATAACCATAGCAACAGCCACTTATCCTAAAAAAAGAAATTGGGAATTTTCACAATGAAGAATTTTTTTACTTTAGACATTGTCTCTACCGGAGATATTACTCCTAAATGTATTTGTTATTTTCGGAAATTGAAACGGTTATGATTAATTGGTAACAGGACTTCTTGTCGTCCAATTCTGTCAGTAATCATATGAGAGATAAACAAATTTGTTAGTCACTCGTATGATTACAGAGCGAATTGGACTCCACTCAGTCCTATTACCATTACGAATAGGAAGAAGTAGGAAGCTTAATGTAGTCGCTGCTCAAAGCTGTTTAGATATTCTCATAATAGATCATCATGGATCATTTTGCGCACGAAAAAGCAAAAATCATGGAATCTACACGTCAACGATATCGTAGGAATTTAAGAATAGTATGTTTCACGCGATAGCAATATCCGCCAGTGAGTACAGCAACTCATAGCCAAAAATAAATAATAATAATAAAAAAGATATGCCCGTATGAAATAAAAACAAAGATTGGGTTTAAGCTTACATTTTAATGTTTTTTTTTAACCACTGCACTGATATGTAAGACAAAACTATTACCACCAGTCAAAGAGGGTTGTTTGTTTATGAAGGTGAAATGATTTCGAAAATGTTTATTTTAATTGAAGGCAGCGTTTGACCTGACGCCACACTGCCATAAGGCCAGCGGTATAGAGATTAGCACTTGATTTGTCTTTATAAAGATGTCCACAATGTTTATGAATGTAAAGGTGCTTTATTATAAATAGTTGAGAACGACGAAAACGCAAAATTATTTGAAAAGTTTTCCTTTACATCTATCATGGGTTGTTGTTTTTCGTTTAACTAAACTGAAATGAACACTTAATCATCTACCAGTTTAGCTCTCATCGAGTTTAACCCCATAATAAATTGAAGTTTCATTTTGCTTTCGATGTAAAACAATGATATAATAAAACAAAGGTCGGTAAATCTGACTCTTAATGCTAATTTATGCTTTCATTAAATTTTATAATTTAAACAAACTTGCAGTTCTGTCTCACACTATTGTTTAGCAATAGACCTTAGCCTTTTACCTGTGACATTCAAGAGCAAACACTTAGAATAAAATATCATACAAAACTGCTAATCAACGAAGACATTTTTTTACGTTTGTTTGATGTAAAAACTCCAAGGCACAACCGTGAACTCCAGGCAAATAAAACGCAATAATTATTAATCAAAGGACTTTCGAGCGCGCATTTTTAACCAGTTAAAGATGACTAGTTGGTGTTTAGCAAACACAGTACTCTAATTTGAAGTCAAACAAGTTATCGAATGCGTTATCCAACTGTTAACTTCCGGCTATGATCAATAAATTGTTTTGCTTCAGTATTGTAATATAACAATCCGTCTTATCGAAAGGGGATTGTTAATGGGGTAAGAAAATCAGTTGCATCCAGAAGAACTAATTTAACCGGCGTAGGCAATACAGCTGGCTTGATACAAAAAAAATTCCGTATCTTACTAACAACCAATCGCTTAAATCGCGGCTACTGTGGATAAACTTTATTTCCAAGTGTACGCACAGCTAAAGGACAGAGAGTTGCATCACTAACGGCAATACATGGGACGAGTAAGTTTCGTGCTACGGCAGTTATTTTGAATTTAACAGCTCATGATTTGATCGACAAAATGGTTTCCACGTAAGGTAGTGCAAGAAACGGGCTAGTTTGATTTTACTCCTATATCTTAGTGATATGAAAGTACATTTATAGGATAAAACTGACCCTGAAAGAGTAGTGAAGGAGAGACTTCCAAGTTCTTCTCTTACGGATGGTGAAACAATTTCAAATTCTTAACCTCACTGCATGAAATAAAGCAGTTGACTTTGACTAAATATTATCGTGCGAACCGTTCAAAGTAAGGCTTGTTAAAGACACGAAATTATAATTTTGTTGGAAAAAGTTCAGAATGTTTATCAGTGTATGAAGATGCTTCTATAAATTGTAGGGATATGAAATAGTTAGTAGGTAGGGCTATGAGAAGGAGTTTAACATTACAGGCTCTTACTGAGCGAGTTCTCTTAAAGATTGTCCTTATTTGTTGCTTACAATTACAGACTTATCCTAACGTGTTTAATGCCCTTTAAAAGGTGCCTCCTGTTGTTTGTTTCCTATTGTATAAAGATTTAAGATACATCTTAACTAGTGCAGTACTCGAAGAAATCCGCTAAGAACCGAGTTCCGGTTTTAAAGAAGAACCCGAGAATCCTTTTTGAGAGAGAGAAACATGACAGAAAACTCCGTCACTTGCTCAGTAAGAGGTCTCCTGTTAATTCAGGCTCATCTCTGAAAGATAAATGGGTCATGAACCTTTCCTCCAAGGAATTATCCGCGCTGGAACGGAGTGGTTTAGAGAAGGGTCTAAAGTTTGCTATTGCTCCTCGCAAAATACCGACCGCCGAAATTGTCGCCGCTGTTGAGGAGAGTATCTCTCAACTCGACGACGATCGTAGGCATTTGGTAAGAGCAGAAGTAAGTGGCGTACTCAGGCGTGCTAAACCTCCTCCCAAAAACATTCAAAAGGATGTTTTCAATGCGCTTATAACTCTCAAAAAGGATCCGGACAGGCTCGTATTATCTGCTGACAAGGGTAATTGTGTTGTGGTTATGGACAAACAGCAATATCACGACAAAGCTTTGTCTCTGCTTAATGACAAGAGTACGTACGCTGTCTTAAACTTTGATCCTACCAGTAAAACTCAAAGAAAGTTAAACAAAATGTTGCTTGATTTGAAAAAAGCTGGTAGAATTAGTGACTCTACGTACAAAATGTTATACAGTAGTGACGGCTTATGTCCACGTTTTTATGGCTTACCTAAAATTCATAAACCGGGAATTCCTTTGAGACCCATTGTCTCTTTTGTTAATTCTCCGACTTATGCAATTTCTGGTTATCTTGCGAGAATTTTGTCGCCTATTGTTGGGAATACTGATTACACTGTCAAAAATTCCTGCGAATTTACGGATTTCATAAGAGATAAAACTCTTGACGCTTGTGAAGAATTAGTATCTTTCGACGTTGTTTCGCTCTTCACTAAAATCCCAGTTGATCTTGACGTTAAGGTTGCGGAGGAAAGACTCAGAGAAGATGCTTCCCTAGGACAAAGAACTTCTTTGCCTGTGGAGGATATTATTCATCTGCTGTCTTTTTGCCTCAAAACCACGCAATTTACATATAACGGCACATACTATCAACAAGTTTTTGGTACAGCTATGGGTTCGCCTGTTTCTGCTGTTATTGCTAACATGGTAATGGAAGACGTGGAACAAAGGGCCTTAGCCACTTCACCGGTTAAACCCTTTTTCTGGAAACGATATGTTGATGATGTTATTTCTGCGGTATCCGGAAATGAAGCGGAGCGCCTCTTGTCGCATTTGTAGAGCCGTCGATCCAATTCATCCTTGAACGTGAAAAGGATAGACATTTGCCCTTTCTTGATTTAAATGTGTCTAGAGGGGTTCAGGGTAATTTAGAGACAAGTGTCTACCGTAAACCCACCCACACCGACAAATACCTCGCTTTCGATTCTCACCATCCTATTTGCCATAAAAAGTCTGTAGCCAAAACTTTACTTAGGAGGGCTGATTGTCTACCATCATTACTCGATTCGAAGGCTGAGGAGAGGAAATATGTTTCCAATGTCCTAAAGGCAAATGGCTATACAAAAACTTTTCTCCGTAACTGCCAAAAACCAGTTACAAATAGTAACGCTCTTGATGAAAGGGAACCAGCGACTGGTTTTGCTGTTATTCCTTACATACAGGGTGTTACTGAACCCATCAAGAGAATTTTGAATAGCCACAACGTTAAAGTTGCTCAAAAACTTTTTCAGACTTTGGGGCATATTTTCACCAAACCTAAGGATCCTGTCACGAAAGAACAACGAACCGACGCCATTTATTCTATTCCTTGCAATGACTGTGATAACAAATACATCGGACAGACCAAACGCCAGTTTGGTACACGGTTAAAAGAGCACCAAAAAGCGGTTTTTCTTTGCAAAAAGGAAAATTCAGCTTTATCGGAGCATACTTGCCTAACCAACCATACAATTCTAAAATTATCACCACTAATCGGCGTTACCACCAGCGCCTTTGTTTGGAGGCTTGGCACATTAACTCCGCCCACGCTCCTTTAAATCGTGACGATGGCGGTCTGCTTCCTGACGCCTATTTACACCTCGTCAGAAAAAAGGCCGCTAATTAGTGATCATATAAAAGGACCTCTTGTTGCAGCGTTTAGATCACCCCTGATGAAGGCACTAGACTGGAGTGTCGAAAAGTTGGGTCTATGAATTGTAACTTCTTCGGTTACATTCATTAAATCTGCAAACCAGTGTAGCTTCAAACTATGTCTGATATGTATGGATATTTGTCCTTGGATATTATCTGTTCCTCGAAGCTCACAGCTTTCGCATCTTGGAACAGAAAATTCGAGAAAATGACCGCGGACAAATATTCGCACTTAAATTGGAGCAATTGTTTATACAGCGCTGTATGGTGATTTAAAATTCAGTAGAGAGAAGCATAGTGCTATCTAGGAGTACATATTGTTGTGAAGCGTTGTCTAATTACTGCATTTTACGGATTTACAGTGCTACTCAGGGGTGTAATGTTGTATTTTGCTGTATGATGATAAAACTTGCAGTACAGGGATGTATAGGGACGGGGAAGAGGGGCATATAGGAGGAGACATGGAGTTTAATAATCGACGGAACGTGTTTGCCCATAATTAATCTCAAGTTGTCATCGACTATCTCTCTAAGCACTATTGTAACTTATCCTTTCTTAATTATTGTTTTCTCAAAACTCTTCCCCAGGGTCTTCTCTGCGTCCACATCCGATATGGCGGCTACCGACTCAGTAGAGTCCGGCTGTGGATTGGCCTGCCGCCGTCTTGGATTCGCAATGTAGGTGGACCCTGGGCGAGAGTTTGACCCATTCCCAATCAGATGACAGAAGAGGCCTTAATTTGGACATTGAGGGACTCGTTTCCAACTAAATGCACCGATTATGTCGCCGAGACTTAGAGGGAGCTCTTCCGCTTTATAACTGCTATTATGATGAGAGGACTGAGGAAAGCAAGCACTGGCACCCTGTGGACTAGGAATCAATCGAAAGGAAAACTGAGATTTTACTGGAGATGACTTTAAGAGGACACCATCCCAAAGTGGACATAATACGCATGATAACAACTACTATGGGTGAGTAACGAGGTATATGAGTTGTAAGAAGCCTGACGTTGCGCGAAGATTGAGACGAATGAAAACTGAAACAGACAAGGAGATAGTCGCGTCCTATGAAGCGCGCAGAAGAATAAAGTTGAGGGCGATAAAAGAGGTGCGCGTAAAGATGGGAAAAGAGGAAAATTGCGACGAAAAAAAAAAAAAAAAAAAAAAAAAAAGGAAGGAACCAGAGGAAGGAGAAAAAAAAGGGATGCGCAAATGTGAAAAGGTGTAAAAACTTGTGTGAGGAAAAAGATAAAAAAGGCGCACACATATAACAGTATGAACACGTCCGTCGGCGTTCAAAACCGTGTGGCAAAACGGAGAACGATAGACAGTGAAAGAGACACAATCGAAGAGATGACGCGCTTTTCTTAAGGGAGCGGGGGCTTGAAACATGTAATGTTAGTACACTACTAGCTGCACACATTATTAACTTGGCGCGCGGGTCAAAACAAGCATTGAAGTCCCCATAGGATCTGCTTTCTCTTACGTGCATCCTAGGAATATGGAGACAGACAACGTAAATCAACGCAGTTTTTGTATTTTATACACTGTATATTTCTCTTACACAAAGAAGTAAAAAAATAAGCACAATAGAAACAGCATTAAATCGTTCAAGGCATTAAGTAAAATAGACGCTGAACGGAGACGCTAAAATGAACCCATTTACTCCCAAAACTGATCATAATTTAAATCCTCCTCACGGTATTAATACACCGACAAACATGGAGTCAATAACAATTAGAGAAAATCCAAACTGGAGGATAATCTTTTACTAGAAACATAATGTTACATCGAATTCTCGGAACAAGCGGCAGCAAAGAGAAACACATTCTTATCAGTTGGGAGAATTTTTCTTCAGAACTTGGGAGTTCATGAGTTAATTAATATAAACTTAGGTAAATGAACAATTATCTTCAACTTAAAAAAAAATAGCATCAAAACACTTCACACGAAATACATTGATATTATACAAACCATGTTTAGTTGAAACTGTCCCAGCATGTCTTTAAAATCCTAGTTACATTATATTCAACCACGCATATTATCAGACATCCTCAAATCATGCTGAGGTAAATTTAAAGCGATGAAAAAATTTCAAGAGATGATTTTCAACAATTAGAAGTTTTATCCTGAAACCCTGAACATTTTCAACTACGCACTAGGTTTACATTAATTAATGAGCCTTTTCACCAAAATAATTCGCATTGAGGACTACATGGCTTACGTTAACTACTTCTCTCATTTATGAGCGTAAATATTGTCGTACTAGAAACAACAAATTCCATGTCACATACAATAAAAGTCACACCTATGGAAACTTTAATTATAGTGAACTCTGCGTCCCTCTTTCCTGGTTTAGATTACATGGAAAATTTTTAGCCTCTCTGTCGTCGTTCTTTAAAGCGAACGGAGAAGTGTTTGGTAAAACGGACAAAAATTGGCCAGACTCGTTTGATTGAAAACAGGGTTGTAGCCAGCTTTTTGACTAAATGTAAGCCTCTTCCTTCACAAATTTCAGTTTTTGTTTCAACATTAGCATAACATTTAGTAAAAGTCAAGCGGGCAGATAACAATTGCAGGCCGAGCCTACGGGACTAGAGGCTGGCTACACCCCTAAAAGTAGGTGTAATGTCTCTAACATATGGTTAGTAAATTTAATAACATCATCTCTGATGTTTACTTCTTCAAATTAAGCTTAAAATGGCAATCTTGGCACTGACAGAACTAGATTGCATTCAAATGGATTGAGTTCAAAATGGTAATCAATTTTTTGGTAAAGATGAATGTAAATTGTAACAAAGTAATTTATGATGTAGAAAACGGTCTAAGATCAATTCACATATTCAATTCACATACATATTCAATCGAAGTTTTGGAAATAAAAATTCGCCAACTTTTGCAAATGACGAATTGTTTCTTTGCTTATCAAAAGCTTAGAGCATAAAAATAATTAAAATCCTGTGGAAAAGCCCCTGGTTGGGTAAAAGAAATAACCTTTAAATTATTTTCCATTTTCCAGCTGGTGTCTACAAATCTTCATTTAAGGTTTAAAAGTCAAACTGTCGAACTGAACTGTCAAATCGAAATAGAAGTCAAGCTATCACACGAACGAAAATGGATTTGAAGAGAATTTTGGCAGCTCGTTGAGCCCGTTAAGAGCGTCATGTGGAAGAAAATGTTTAAACGTTAAGTGTTTTAAGTACGTGGTATCTCTGGTTTGTTGTGTTTCATTTCATCAAAAAAAATTAATGCAGAGTCTCGAGTTGACATTAGCTTTCTTATGCAAATATGATACTACTAGTAGGATTGGAATCGTTTAAAATGAAGAAAAAAAGAAACAGTTTCCTTATCTTAACTGAACGTCACGTTAAATGTGAAAGTAGGTTACTAGCACATTTCGAATCCAGTGGCACGAATTCCTTGGTATATATAGGAAGGTCTTAAGCGCGGTTATTCTTCCGCGATTATTCCACCTTTGTGATAGCATAGTTCTACTGAGGATGAGGATGGAGATTTACAACTGTGTAACTGTGTCTTGTTGAAGGCATTGCTTAGTGTATTGATTTCTTTGTATGATTGGCAAAATGAGAGTAAAAATTTATTATCTAAAATAAACGTGAATCAAATTTACATTATTCAGAATTAATAGTGATGTTCGTGAATGATTTTGTTTCAGAAATATTTCCCGCCTTTAAGAGTTTGAAATTTAAAGCCTTAATCAACTCGCCATCTCTGTGTCTTCACGTCAAACGAATCACGACTGCGCTGGAAAATGCTGCGTTTTCTTTGAACGACGCAAAGGTTTTCATCGAGTATTTAATGAACCTTGGAGAAAGAGACAGAGCATGGAAAATTTCGATGTATGTATTCTGTTATGCCGATCAAGGTTACTTAGGGGTAAATATTGTTGTATAGAGCTGTATAGTAATGTAAACTGCAGTAGCGAGAAGTATAATGCTATCTAGGGGTAGATATTGTTGTATAGCGCTGTATCGTGATGTAGAGTGCAGAAGAGTGAAGTATAGTGGTATCTAAGGGTACATATTATTGTATAGCGCTGTATAGTGATGTAAACTGCAGTAGCGAGAAGTATAATGCTATCTAGGGGTACATATTGTTGTATAGCACTGTATCGTGATGTAGAGTGCAGAAGAGTGAAGTATAGTGGTATCTAAGGGTACATATTGTTGTATAGCGCTGTATAGTGATGTAAACTGTAGTAGCGAGAAGTATAATGCTATCTAGGGGTAGATATTGTTATATAATTACTGACCCTCATAAAATCCTATTGTTCTCTCTCAGCATTATATCGGCGATTTCAGCCTGAGAAAGTATTCATATTCAGTCAAGTCCAACTGTCTGAGGAAAACGGTGGCGGTCCTTTTTGGTAGCAGGGAAATTATCAAGGGTAATCCTAAACGCGCTAAAACGTTCAATATTGCAGTGGGCTGGCTGCACTGCAATATTTTTAATAATGCAGCCTGCTTCCAGCAATATTTTTAATATTGCTGCATGACTGTGGTATTTACTTCGTTACTTTTCCACTCAGTAATTTTTGAAAATTCGCGAATGTCCGCGCATAATTTATGATGAAGATCTGAAGTTAAAAAGTAAATGAATACACCATGAGAAGTACCATTCCAGGAGACGTACAGACGAAAACATTTTACAGTTTATTTAGGGCACATCTGACAATGACAGTCTTTCTCACTTGTAAGAAATAACAATTTTCGTACTGTGAGTACTAATTACAACTGACTGATTATAATCTTCGCTCTGGTTTTCGTCTAAAACCTTTTCGCTTAACCCCTGTAACCCTGTTTCTTCCCTTTGTCCATCATATTTTTGCTCAACATCATTGTTAAACACTTTTTCATTTTTTTCCTTGACGTCTATTTCTGCCCTCTTAGGAGTCGCTCCCTGCAAGATTTTCCTTGCTTTCCTTTTAAATGTTGATGAGGTACACTTATACTCCCTAACCCCATCACATGATCGGTGACCAGTGGTTTCTAAAATAACTTGTTCTGGCACACCACCTTCGTACAATCGTGTGGCGCAACTTCGTCGAAGGGAATGATTTGTAAAGTGCCCCTCAAAACCTGCTCTTCGCATAATATTCTTAACTACGTTCCCTAACGTTTCCCTCCCCATAGCTTTATTATAATACCATACGTCCCCTTTTGGCTTTGGCAAAGCCCGCAAATAGAATGCGTTGTCACTGATTTCTTTCGGCACGTGAGATACGTATTTCTTATACAGCTCAACTGGGCAACGCTCTACACTGGTTAAGTTCTTATATGCCCGAACAACTTTCCTTTTGACACGCAAATGGCTCAAACCGCCATTATTAGTTTTACTGATATCCTCCATATACTGTAAGAATTCATTACCCGATTCGTCACTTTGTAGCGATAACTGTGAGTTTTTAAATCTCAAATTCCTGTGTTCCTGCCCAGCCCTTAGAGCAAACTGAATGCCAAAACCCAGACCAAAGTGTGGCAAAGCAGCTCTGCGTTGTCGCTCCCTAAAAACCCGTTTTCCCACAAATAGTTTTCTTGTTCCTCCGTAATAAGATTAGCCTTGTTGACAACTAAGCCTATTCCTTGCCCAGCTTTTTCTTTCATTTGAAAGTTCAAAGCTGAATTCAAACTTCTAAATTTACAACCTGTTTTGTCAATCAAAGTCACATTTCTCTTACATTTCACACGTAAAAACGTTTGAATACTACTTATCATTTCATATAAAGTCTTTCCTGGATATTCTTGTCCATCTTCTTTTCTAACTTCGGCAATAAATCGAGCCAAGACAAAATCCAGCTGCTCTTCAGACATTTCATCTAGATTCTCGTTTATCAACGGTTCACCACTATAACTCATTTCATTTACGGCTTTATTTCTCTCAACCATCCACTGATCAAAGACTTTCAGCACCCACGCCCATTTTCGACGACTTGAGTCTGACACCCAACTTTCTTCAAATTTTTCACACTCAACAGACGTAATTGGTTTTCTGAATCTTTGCTCTTCTATAAACAATAACAAAATACAAGGAAAGCTTTTCTTAGTCGTTTAAAAATGACCCCCAAAAAGTTAAAGCGTAATTACCTTCAACGGCAGCGGCATTTTCCGACCTCTGGCTCTGCGTTATGAAAATGGCAGATTCGTCTTCCGAAGAATCCTCCATCAAGCTTCAAAACAGTAGCAACTCTTTGCCTTCCAACAAACAACTCAAATAACCAAGTGCATTGCGTTAATATACAATGCAAATTACGTTTGCATGAAATTCAATCACACACCTGAAAGATGTGGAAAGTTACATAATCTTTACAAGGATTTAACAATGACTAAATTCCGGGAAATGAAAAGGGTTATGTAATTTGTATAACTACTAGACAATACGTGCTAATTGCATTGTTGGAGAGAGAAAATAGTAGGATTTCATGAGAGTCAATGATTATATGAATGAATGCAAGTAGTTAACAATGGCTGAATTGGGGAATGAAAAAGGATTATGCAATTTGTATTATTACTGGACAATGCTTGCCAGTTGCATTGTTGGTGTACCAAAACATCAATATGAAGGGGCGACTGAAATCGTCGATGTAATGCAGAGAGAGAACAATAGGATTTTATGAGGGTCAATAATTATAATAGTTAATTACTTCGGTTCGCAGCATTATTGGGTATAATGCTGCGAACCGAAGTAATTATCTATTAAATAGCGCTGTATCGTGATTTAGAGTGCAGAAGAGTGAAGTATAGTGGTATCTAGGGGTACATATTGTTGTATAGCGCTGTATAGTGATGTAAACTGCAGTAGCGAGAAGTATAATGCTATCTAGGGGTACATATTGTTGTATAGCGCTGTATCGTGATGTAGAGTGCAGAAGAGTGAAGTATAGTGGTATCTAAGGGTACATATTGTTGTATAGCGCTGTATAGTGATGTAAACTGTAGTAGCGAGAAGTATAATGCTATCTAGGGGTAGATATTGTTATATAGCGCTGTATCGTGATTTAGAGTGCAGAAGAGTGAAGTATAGTGGTATCTAGGGGTACATATTGTACTATAGCGCTGTATAGTGATGTAAACTGCAGAAGAGAGAAGTATAGTACTATTTAAGGGTACATGTTGTTTTATAGCGCTGTATTGTGATGTAAATTGTGGAAGAGGGAAGTATAGTGCTATCTAGGGGAACTTGTTGCTTTTTATGATCCATCAAATATTTTTGCTCGCGCGCAATTGGTGTAAACGCAGCAAGTGACTAAATATCCCCCAGCTAATACTGGGTGATATCCGAGAATATCACACAAGCGATATTCCCCAATTCGCAAACCTTACGTCTACCTCGATAAGTCTTCGTTTCAAATTTAATTCAATTCAGTGAGCTGTTCATAAAGATTCTTTCACGAGCGTTGCAAAATAATTGAGGGATAAAAATCACAATAGCCTCTATTTTGCACGAAAATATGTTCGGATATTTGCCCTTGGACATTGTCCCTCGAAGCTCACAGTTTTGGCATCTTGGAATAGATAATGTTCGCGGACAAATATCCATAATTATTTTCGTGTCAAATTGGAGCAATAGTTTATAGAGCGATGAATGCTGAAAAAAAAATTCAGTAGAGGGAAGCATAGTATTATTTAGGGGTTCATATTGTTGTGATGCGCTGCACAGTTACTTCATTTTACGGATTTACAGTGCTACTCAGGGGTATAATGTTGTATTGTGCTGTATAATTTTAAAAGTTGCAATAAAGGGATGTATAGTGCTATTTAGGGGAGGAGGAGAGGGGCATATAGGCGTACGTATTCGAGGAGTTTGTTCTACAACGTAAGGAGACATGGAGTCCAATAATCGACGGAACGTGTTTGCTCCTAATGAATCTCTCGGGCTGTTATCGACTACCTCTTAGGAAGCATTACAATAACTTAACCTTTCTTGATTATTGTCTTTTCAAAACACTTTTTCAAGGTCCTCTCTGCGTCTACATCCAAGATGACGGCTACCGACTCGGAGAAGTCTGTGGATTGGCCTGCTGCCATCTTGGACTCGCGATGTAGGCGGACCCTGGGCGAGAGTTTGATCCATTCCCAATAAGATGATAGAAGAAGCCTTAATTTGGACATTGAAGGACTCGTTTCCAACAAAATGCATCGATTATGTCGCAGAGACTTGGAGGGAGCTCTTTCGTTTTATAGCTGCTACTGTGATGAGAGGACCGAGGAGAGCAAATACTGGCAAGTGAAACTTAAAATTGAGACCCCCTGTGGACTGGGAATGAGTCGAAAGGAAAACTAAGATTTTACTAGACATGATGCTAAGAAGACACCATCCTAAAGTGAACAAAATAAGCATAACAACAACTACTCTGGGGAAGTAAAGAGGTATATGAGTTGTAAGAGACCTGACGTTGCACGAGGATTGAGACGAAAGAAAACTGAAACAGACAAGGAGATAGTTGCGTCTAATGAAGCGCGTAGAAGAATAAAGTTGAGGGCGATGAAAGAAGTGCGCGTAAAAATGGGAATAAAGGAAAAGTACGATGAAAAAAAGGGAAGGAACAAAAGGAAGGAGAAAAAAGAGATGCACAAATGTGAAAAGGTGTAAAAAGGTAAAAAGGGCGCACACAGGTAACATTATGAACACGTCCGTTGGCATTCAAAATCGTGTGACAATATGGAGAACGATAGACAGTGAAAGAGACACAATCGAAGAGTCGACGAGCGTTTGTTAAGTGGGCGGGGGCTTGAAACATGGAATGTCAGTACACTATCAGCTGCAAAGATTATCAACTTGGCGCGCGCGGGTCAAAACAAGCATTGAAGTCCCCGTAGGATCTGTTCTCCCTGCATCTCATGCAAATCCTTAGAATATGGAGACAGACAATGAAAACAAACGCAGTTTTTGTATACACCCTCTATTTCTCTTACACAAAAAAGTAAAAAAAAGTACAATACAAACTGCATTAAATTGTTCAAGGCATTAAGTAAAGTACGCGCTAAACGGAGACACTAAAATGAACCCATTTATTCCCAAGATTGATCATAACTTAAATTCTCCTCACAAAATTAATGCACCAACAAACATGGTGTCAATAAGAATTAGAGAAAATCTAAACTAGCGGATTATTTTTCACTAGAAACGTTATGTTTCATCGAATTCTCAGAATGAAGCAACAAAGAAACACATTCTTATCAGTTGGGAGAATTTTTCTTCACAACTTGGGAGTTAATGAGTCAATGAATAAAAACTAAGGTAAATGAACAAATAGCTTCAACTTTAAGTACAAATAGCATCAAAACAATTCACACCAAATACACTGATATCATAAAAAGAATGTTTAGTCTAAATTATCCCAGCTTGTTTTTAAAATCCTACGTTACGTCATATTCAACCATGTGCAAGGTTAACTATTACATTTTATACCAGCATATACCAATGGTAGTTATCAAAATCTGTCAAAAATTAACACTGATTTTACAAAAATTTCTTTTAAAACAGCTGTGATACAGTATACCTTAAACTTTGACCACATAACGGGTTCTAATTACAAAGCGTGCTCTGAATACCTAAGTATAAATTCTTAAATCTAAGAAAGATATCACCAGACATCTCCAAATTATACTAAGGTAAATTTAAAGCCATGAAAAAAGTTTGAACAGCAAATTTTCAAAAAAATGCAAATTTTATCCCGAAGCCCTGAACCATTTTAACTACGGCCTAGATTTACATTTATTCATGAACATTTTCACCAAAATAATTCCCATTGAGGACTACATGGCTTACTTCAATTGTTTCCCTAATTTAATGGCGTAAATATTTTCCTAATGAAAACAACAAATTCCATGTCACCTACATTAAAAGTCACAGCAATGGAAACTTCAGTTAAAGTAAACTCTGCTTCGCTATTTCCTTGTTTAGATTACATGGACAATTTGTCTCTGTCGTCGTTCTCTAAAACAAACTGATGAGTGTTTGATAAAACGGACTAATTGATCAAACTCGTTTGATTGAAAGCAGGCCGTTGTAGCCAGCTCTTTGACTTGTTGTAGGCCTTTTTCCTGAGAAATTTAAATTTTTGCTTCAACATTTGTAAGAGTCATATTAGAAAAGTCAAGCGGGCGGAAAACAATTGTAGGCCGGGCCCACGGGACTAGAGGCTGGCCACACCCCTGAGAGTAGGTCTAATGTCTCTAACATATGCATATGGTCAGTAAATTCAACAACATCATCTCTGATGATTACTTCTTCAAATTAAGCTTAGAATGGCAATCTTGGCACTGATGGAATTAGATTGCATTAAAATGGATTGAAAAAAAATTGAAAATGACAATCAATTTTTTTGTAAAGATAATTGCAAATTGCAACAAAGTAATTTATGACGTAGAAAAGCCATTCAGATCAATTCCCATATGGCTGCGAAGTTTGCAAATCACATTTTTGAAATTAAAATTTCGCCACCTTTTGCAAATGACAAACTGTTTCTTTGCTTATCAAAAGCTTAGGGTATCAACGTAATTAAAACCCGGTGGACAAGCTCCTGGTTGTGTACAAGAAAAGAAACCTTTAAATTATTTTACACATAACTGATTGCAATAAAGGAATAGATCTGAGTGTCATTTTGGCGAAACGAAAACCTCGTAGTCGCCTTCAACAACTTCAGGCATTAACAGCAGAAGCCTTGTTGCATCTTGTTCTCTTCGCAAGCATCTAAATTTGTAAAGGTAAAAAAATAGCAATTCCACTGAACAAAAATATACTGAAATAGTCTGTTTTATTTCTTCATCAAAGTAAAGTCACACATCTCAAGTTCCATTTAACAAAAAAGTGAAAAGTAATGAAAAATCGCCAAAAAGCGCCAAAATGGAGAAGCATTTAAACCTTCCAAGTTCCTGCGTCATTCATTTTGAGATGAAATAAAAAGTTTTCATTTATGCGATTTCATATTCAAATTTTCTCTTTCCTTTGCCATGAAGTCAAGAGTGACGTCATCTCCAATCAGCAAAAAGGGCGCCCAGTGTTTGATGTCGCAGAACTTGTCTGATTCTCTGAGGCTTTTCATGGCCAGGTTCAGTGACTCGCTTGCTGGTTTACCTCCTGCAAGTTGTTGATAAAAGTATTTCATGAACTCAAGAGTAGCCTCGTCATCAATCGCCCACAGGGACACCACAATAGACCGAGCACCAGCCCCCATAAAAGCGCGCGCAATGCCAACCACACCTTCAGCCTTGATCTCGCCCCGGCCGCTGTGGCAGCAACTAAGCACAACAAGTTTGGCCCGAAGTTGAGCATTCAACACATCTCCAATTGTTAAAATGTAATCCTCCTCCGTTGGCACAGTAGATATTCGGTCTGGGTCAGGTGTAAGAGCAATTTCGCCAGTTTCCATACGTCCGTGTGCCGCAAAGTGAACTAGAGAAACGGAACTGAGTCTTTTCAACACCTCACGTTTCGTGGCCTGACTGCCAGTGATTGGCGTGATATTCAGAATTTTTCCGATCATTTCTACTTCTATTTTAGCATACTGAAGCTGCTCGAAGACTTTCTTTCCCTCGCTGTTAGTAACCTCGGATACCCACGGATCTCCTACGAGTAACGCATCACTGCTTTTGTGATAATCATCTGGGCAATCGGCAATGAGTCTAAGACTTGCTAACGATGGAGCGACTCGGATTTTGAACGACTCACACAGGTATTTAGAATTACCATCCTTCAATGCAGCGTAAGGAGCGATCCACAGGGGTCCATCAGGAATAATGAGTAGCTCATCCCCTTCAATCAAGTCAGCCACCGGCTTCATAACGATATCATACAAAGTGCTCAAGCATCCGTCTTGTTGGATGTGAGATTGAGGCTTGGCTTCTTTGGTTTTCTCATCCACTTTTGAACGGCCCTCCCTCAAAGCATCTAAAGATCGATTCTCGCATCTCACATTAGAAAGAACACCAAGTTGTGTATAGACACCGAGCATGAACGACTTAAAGGACAGGCTTGATCCACTATTCTCTGAAACAAAACCTTTGAGTTTACTTTGTCTTAACTGAACTTGTTTTCCTTCGGACACAACCCAAAGATTGACGTTAGCTTCGTCCACTGCCTGAAAGACAGTGTTTGATGGAAGGTTTTTTAAAACTGCGCAATCTTCATCTTCTCCTTGTGGTGACTTGTTCCACCACAAAAACTGGATTCCATGAGGTCGGTCAGAGCTTGAGCTCGTCCTTTCTCAGCAACAAATAAGGCTTCATCTACATTACCTTGCTCTACGAGAACTCTCCACAAACCCGTATACGCCACTTGATGCTGATTTCGAAAATCAACTTTCCACTCATCTTTAGATATTAGAAGTACTCTCAAGGAATTGAATAAGTTTATGCTAGCTTGGTAATGTTCAACGGCTTTTGGCAGTGTACCTTGCAACTCAAAAACCCATGCTAATAAACAGTAGGCCATTGCCTCCGTGAATTTGTCTCCTACTTCTTTAGCTATTAGAAGATGTAAGTTGTGGTACTCTATGGCTTTTTTGAAATCACCAAGACGGCGATAAGCAATGCCAAGATTGCTATAAGCACCACCCTCCCCATGCTTGTCTCCTACTTCTTTAGCTATTTTAAGATCTCGGTTGTGGTATTCTATGGCTTTTTGGAATCACCCAGATAGTCATAAGCATTGCCAAGATTGCCATAAGCACTACCCTCCCCATGCTTGTCTCCTACTTCTTTAGCTATTTCAAGATGTAGGTTGTGGTACTCTATGGCTTTTTGGAATCACCCAGACGGTAATAAGCATTGCCAAGATCGCCATGAGCACAACCCTCCCGAAGCTTGTCTCCTACTTCTTTAACTATTTCAAGACGTAACTTGTGGTACTCTATGGCTTTTTGAAATTACCCAGACTAAAATAAGCATTGCCAAGATTGCCATAAGCGTTTCCCTCCCATGCTTGTCTCCTATTTCTTTAGCTATTTTAAGATGTTGCTTGTAGTACTCTATGGCTTTTTTGAAATCAGCAAGACGGCGATAAGCAATGCCAAGATTGCCATAAACACAACCCTCCCCATGCTTGTCTCCTACTTCTTTAGCTATTTCAAGATGTAGGTTGTGGTACTCTATGGCTTTTTTGAAATCACCCAGACTAAAATAAGCATTGCCAAGACTGCCATAAGCGTTACCCTCCCCATGCTTGTCTCCTACTTCTTTAGCTATTTTGAGATGTAGGTTGTGGTACTCAATGGTTTTTTTGAAATTACCCAGACGGTGATAAGCATTGCCAAGATTGCCATAAGCGATACCCTCCCCGTGCTTGTCTCCTACTTCTTTAGCTATTTTAAGATGTAGGTTGTGGTACTCTATAGCTTTTTTGGAATCACCCAGACGGTGATAAGCATTGCCAAGATTGCCATAAGCGTTACCCTCTCCATGCTTGTCTCCTACTTCTTTAGCTATTTTAAGATGTAGGTTGTGGTACTCTATGGCTTTTTTGAAATCTCCCAGACGGTCATAAGCATTGCCAAGATTGCCATGCGCACAACCCTCCCCATGCTTGTCTCCTACTTCTTTAGCTATTTTAAGATGTAGGTTGTGGTACTCTATGGCTTTTTTGAAATCACCCAGACTAAAATAAGCATTGCCAAGATTGCTATAAGCACAACCCTCCCCATGCTTGTCTCCTACTTCTTTAGCTTTTTTAAGATATAGATTGTGGTACTCTATGGCTTCTTTTCCCTGATTATAGAGATCTATGACTTTCCAGACATCACCTGAACTTGCACTACCCGGGTCATGACTAATAGGATCTTTTTCCTCCATGGAGTTATCTCCCACTTCACTGACAGACTGAAGTCTTAATGACAACAAGATCCTATTGTTTTTGTTGATCTTTTTTATGTTAAGGGTTAAAAATATGGAAAAAACAAAAAAGATTATGTTTCTGATCATATTGATATGTAATAGTCCATTTTAACATTTGCGTGCTTGGTTCCCAAACCTCTGAACAAGAGCCATGATTAAGGGTGACCTTGTTATGATAAAAACATTGCTGCTTTTAAATGCAAACTACTTTGTTATTATCGTTTCTAGATACTGGTCACTATCACAACAAGGTCACCTTCAGCCTTACTCCAAATCAAAGGCTTGGCAGCTAAGTACACAACTATAAAATGGCCCATTAGGAGGGCTTTGCATGAAAGGTGGATGATTTATCAACATTTAGTCCTAAAGTCAGTTATGAAGTAAATCTACTCTTCAAAAATGTTTTTTTCTGTGTGCAGCCTCAAAATTTAACGCGAAATATCTAGATTTAATCCCTAGTTTCCAAAAACTGAGCAGCACTTGCTCAATTTTTAAATTAATATAGCTTTAACATCAGACGAATGTTTTACAGCAGTGGAAGAAATGAGTCTACAACACAAATACATGTCTTTAAAATTTTTATTTGTCCATAGGAAAGCAGGACGAAAGTTTCCGAGTCTCTAAGTAGTGGAAAAAGGTCGAAGGCAAGAAAATCTGCATAAGATATGTAAACATTACCGAGCTTTTTGTTCTGGCTTGTTTTAGAGCGAGAGATCATCTACCCAAGTACCATGTATAAACTGGATGAATATTAGTCTTCTAACCCTTTAACTCCCGTGAGTGACAAAAAGATAATTTCTCCTTACAATAGCAATACAATATCAATCAGATAAGTGTTGAGAGTAAAAAAAATATATCAATTTGAAAATAGTTAGTTGATGCAATACTGAGTTCTCTTTACTAACATTACAAGAATTGTATGGTCGACAGTAAGGATAATTACAAATTTGGTCTGGGAAATTAAAGGGTTGTTTAAAATAATGTACCAGTTATTGGCATGGATAGTAGAACTAAGTCAAATTGGCTAAAAGGAGTAATTTCATTAATAAGTCATGAGGTAATAACTTCTCCTATGTTTTTAATCGCACACACTTAAAGTATATGAGCTGACAAGTTCCCATCATAATTAATATCTTTGTATTTTCTCCCTTGAAACATCAAATTATGGAAACTTTTTCCATTATACCCACGGTTAAAAATGAAAGATTCCTTCAAAGGATACAGCTAGTCCCTTATCACACCAAGGGATTGCTTCTTCAAATCTCTTCAATTTAACACAAGCAGCGGCTCCTGTAGGCAACAACACAAAGAAGCATACTATTACTGTAGCTCAATTCTGAGAAAAGAACCTGAAACTATTGAAATCATTACAGACCAGAAGAAAAAAAAAGACACAACAAAACAATACAAAAAAACTAAACGGAAAAGAATAAACAGGCCCTATTAGGTTTCAGCAGGTAATTTAGTGTTAACAACTGGGTTGAAAACGTAATTTAGTCGTAAAGGGTAAAAAAGCTGACGTTTCGAGCGTTAGTCCTTCGTTAGGCAAGTCCTGATCCTTCTTTTTAAAACAGCTAGATAGTGACTTAAGAGCGTGTCCACGAGAGCACCGGGCAGTCGTGCTACATGCCATCTCACCGATTTCAATGAAAGTTTATCAGTTTAAAGGGTCTACCCCAAAACTCAAAAAAACAGACTGGTTTCTGTTTTGGGTTTTTCCGGATGGAGATAGACCACCCCCCGGTTTTTCTTGGTTTTCACCATGGAAATCGCTTCAAATAGGTAAAATGTATGAAGCTTTCACTGCGATGGTATTTAACCGATTACTTTGAGGATTTGCACACATATTTTTACATCCTTAGTTAATGGCCGCCGCGAGTATCAGTCCGTTTGATTGACGGCTTGTCAATCAACAGAGGCAAATATACGACTTTGGTTTTAGACTTTTCGATTCATCTAAATATTTTACAACTTTGAGGTCAAATATCTCCCGTTGCCGGAAAGTTACAACACTAATCTTAATTACCCTTTATAACCCATCATTTCATCTCTGGAAATCATCAAAAAAATCTTTAGGCACTACCGTATTTTTGTCTTGGATGCCTTTTAAAATCTGCGACTGTGACAAGTTTCTCTCAACTACATTTGTCACGCAATTCCTGCTCTAGGCGGTCACTTGACAAAATAAACCTACATTTTTTAGCTCTTTATACAAGTTGATTGGTCAAGAAAGGTGAAAACTGTGAAAAACTTTCGAGATTTTTTGTAGGAATGGAAAATTTCACGTTTAGAGAGATGCATGTTGACGGAAGATCAATGGGAAAATCGAAGCGTTTCTTTCTTCAGTCGTTTATTACTTTGAAGATTTGCTAAAATCAGGACATAGGGCTCTTGTACAGAACAAAACATTCAATAGCCTATACTTTGATCGTCTATTATCATTATCGCACAGTTTACAATAAGGAAACTGTAACAGGAGAGGAGATTTTAAAGTCACATGTCGCCTGCTTGTTGACGTACAAGTTCCCGAGTGTAACAACTTCGGCTTTTCCATACCGCGAATGACGGGAAACTCTGCCCCCTTTATTTGTTAGGAAACATCAATAGCCCCATGAATTCATCAACTACGCCATGTTTCCAGAAAATAAGACTGGAAAATGTTTTTTCCACTTTCCACCATCAAGGAATTCCACGTATAGGAATAGTATTCGTAGGGTCACTGCGTGACCTTTTATTAGAAGTAAAAATTGTTCATCTTTTTTTTTTTTCAAGAAGGCACTTCTAGAAAGTTCCTAATCCTTCTGTTATCTTATTTTCCTGTTTTTGACTGCAAATATCATCTGCATTTGCTATTATTTTCGCTAATTGTCATGGCCTTTCCTGCGTGCACGTGCGAGCTAGTTTATATACAGGACTCTTTCGAGTTTCTCTGGCTGGTGTCGGGCTTATGTGTAGGTCTAGTTCAAAAGATATCTGCACGCTGCAACACGGGTTCCTATGTTTTCTCCTTTTTCTTTATTTGTATTTTCATTCTCTTGCTTGCATTATCACACATTTATGTTTTTTTATTCCCTCAGCACGTTCCCTCAGATTTGGAAGTAGGCCATGAAAAGTCAATATTGACCAGAACTGAAATCCTTTTCTATCACTATTTGTTTCAGAGAACCCCGTCATTTGTGACTTTATTTCTCAAGAAAATGTGTTTTTTTATTTGCTATTTATTTCCATTAGAACATGAAACTAGGTCCTGATAAGTTTTTTTTCTCGTGACTCCCAAAAACTGTGTTTGCGACAACATCAATTGAGAAATCAAAGGCAATTACGCCTGAGAAATTCGCTTGTAGTCTTCTACCCGCAGAAGGCAATTCCATATAATGAAACGTTCTAAGACCTCTGTAAATTAGAGACATTGGGTGATGTTGAGGAGTGAAATATTTAAACTAAATCTGTGACTCTCAAACAGATCACGTACTCGTACGTGTAACTTCCGGAAAATATCACGCATGTATAACACCGTTGGCTCACCTGGCGAATTCTATCCACTGGCTTCAATAGCAAAGAGAAAACTTATTTACTATTTGTATATGAACAAGCTTATTTACCCTACTTGAAAAAATTCTTGATGAAGTCTACTATTGTCAGACGAAACGCGTGGGAGATAAATACAAGTTTTTACTTTCTTAGTTCGTGCAGTGATGCTCACTAGTTTGTTCCGTCAAAAATGCTTTTAATGTGAAGTCACGTCGACCTCGACAGAAAAACTAAGCTCACCCTGTAATAATCAATGGTTTGATACCGTTAGTACCAATTTAGGTACATCATTGGGCTTTGATCACAATGATGAAAAAAATGTGCGTTTCCTCACGCTCGCCACGTTTATTCTTTGGAAAATTATTTTACAGAACTGTTTTATAGCAGCCCGAGGAAAAAGCAAAATTGAAACAACCGGCGTATCGGTCAAACGAATTCCAATTTTTTTCAACAAGGAGTTGGCAAGTTCATTTTTCCTAGTAAATTTAAGTGGGCTTCATTTTTTTGTGACAGCCGATCAAAGATAGACATCTCTGAAACGTCTCTAAACTCTTAAAAAAAAAAAACATTTGAGAGACGTCGATCTATCCCAAACATGCATTTCGTCCGAGATGGAGCTTATTCTAGCGCGTATTGGCTTAATTGGAGATTACGAAGGCCGCGATTCCACGATGTACCTCAAATATCGTGCACAACTTGGTGTGAGATTCAGACCTTCGGGTTCGTAAATGCCAGTATCCTCCTCATAAAAATCGGAGACATAAAGTGAGAGAGAGATGAATCTCAAATGGCAGAAGAAATCAAAGCTGGTGGCGAGTCTTCCTGGTGGCGGCAAGGTGACTGTAAACCTAAATAGAACGCGCACTGTAGCTGCTATCTTAGAGTCGGCAATGAATAAGGAAAAAGGGCAAGAAGAGCGCTTATCTGAACATCAGTTTTCCTAACTGGTGATTTGTGACTGAGATGAACTTTATATCATATGACTGTTAGGGATACGCAGGTACTGTAGAGTCGCTCACATAGATAGAGGTGGACGATCCTCCCTCTGACTTAAAAACTGCGACAAGTTTATAGCGCAGATCAAGAGGCACAGTTTGAAGCACCTCAGGGTCTCACTTGGCTCGTCACATTAGAAACCTTCAGCAAACTAATCTTAGAAGCGGGTACTTATCAGCAACGTGCACAGATTTCTGAACGCGGGTCATCGCGAGAGCTATACCCAATCCGTCATAGACGGAACAAGAAAGCGAGATATTCTTGCTAAAAGAAGGATGTATCAAGACGTTTCAGTCATTGGCTGCCATCCAAATGTACCCTGACAAAGAAAAACACAGTGAGGCCGACAAAAAAAATTCCGCCTAGGATAAGATCAAGAGGAAATGGACTAAGACCGGCTTGCCATTCTATAGGGGATGGCTACATTCCAGGTCGGACCTCAGGTAAAAATTCTGACGAACAATCCCTAAATAGCCAAGAGGACTTTCGATGGGCTCTTTGGAAAACACAAAAAACAGCCACCTTTTCTCAGAAAGCAGAGAATTATCTCCTAGACGTGTGCTGGACAAGGGAGGAAACTAGTGAGGCAACCGCCGCTAATGTGATTTCCCAAATATCGAGTTTAAGAGACGACACCAGCCAGAAATGTTGTCTAAGACTAACCGGTTGATACAGCAGCAAATCGCTGGATACTTCAGCCGGTTATCTGCCGTAACAAAAATTGGTTTATTGATGAGGTTCCCCTCTATGAATAAGGCCGATGCCAATGATCTAGCTTCAGAATTCGAAACTGACCGAACAAGGCAGAAAATAAGGAGAGACCTTGCAAAATTTAGACGAAGACTGCAGGAGAGGGTAAAGCTGCTATTAAGCTAAAAAAAAAAAAAAAAAGAGGACATTTTTGAATCTCACTTTTCTCTCATATCTATTGTCTTTGCTCACGAAAACAACTGGCTATGTCTTGGGATTTCGTCAAGGAAAAATTTGCAGGGAGGCTACTCGTCAAATTACCGCTGGCTCGGATTCTTATTTAAAAATTTTACAAGTCACGCAATTAAACGCCGGCAACACTCGATCTAGAGAGATGTAGATTTATGTGTAGTAAATTAGAATGCTTGAAAAAATCTGCAGATATTTTACGATCCAAGCAGGCAAATAATCATAGAAATCTGCAGATTATTCTGAATTTGTTATCTAGCAGACAGTACGAACAACGCGCTTGAATAATTCCTAATAAGAGTCTTCGGGTCACACAACAGATGTTAGCTTAGCGGAGTTCTGCATGGAAATGTTCGATGGCGGTAAGTGACAACGACAACACTATTTTAATTTTATTTTTCGGGATAAAGGCAGTTTTAGTCCAATAGAACTATTGATATTTGCTCTCGAGCGAGAGCGCAGAATTCCTTGTCTGTAAAAGCCGAAGTTGTAGCACACTGGAACATGTAGTAATATCAACCAACACGCAGCATGACTTTGAAATCTCCTAAAATGAGCAATGATGATGATTAACAATCATATTATAGACTAATGAATGTTTTGTGCCGTACAAAAGCCATATCTGCTGATTTTAGCAAATCTTCAAAGTAATAAACGACTGAAGAAAGAAACGCTACGATTTTCCCATTGATTTTTCGTTTACATGCATCTCTCTAAACGTGAAATTTTCCATTCCTACAAAAAATCTCGAAAGTTTTTCACATTTTTCACCTTTCTTGATCAATCATCTTGTATAAAGAGCTAAAAATGTACGTTTATTTTGTCAAGTGACCGCCTAGAGCAAGAATTTCGTGACAGGTGTAGTTGAGAGAAACTTGTCACAGTCGCAGATTTTAAAAGGCATCCAAGACAAAAATACGGTAGTGCGCAAATATTTTTTGATGATTTTCAGAGATGAAATGATGGGTTAATAAAGGGAATTAGGATTAGTGTTGTAGCTTTCTGGCATCGGGAGATATTTGACCTCAAAGTTGTCAAATATTTGGATGAATCGAAAAGTCTAAAACCAAAGTCGTATATTTGCCCCTTTGATTGACAAGCCGTCAATCAAACTGACTGATACTCGCAGCAGACATTAATTAAGGATGTAAAAATATGTGTGCAAATCCTCAAAGTAATCGGTTATAAACCATCGCCGTGAGAGCTTCATACATTTTACCTATTTGAAGCGATTTCCTTGGTGAAAACCAAGAAAAACCGGGCGTGGTCTATCTCCCCCCGGAAGAACCAAAACAGAAACCAGTTTGTCTCTTTGAGTTTTGGGGTAGACCCTTTAAACTGCCAAAGTTTCACTGAAATCGGTGAGATGGCTTGTAGCACGACTGCCCGGTGCTCTCGTGGACACGCTCTTAACATATCTGCATGACACCTGTGACTCATTGGACTTAAGGAACTAAAATATTCATGCTGAAATTTTACTTTGCATTCCACATTGAGTTCTTCATCCCGTTCAAAATAATATTCTTATCATGATTAATGGAAAGTAATGGCATAGCAGTCAAGAGCTGGATTCAAATGTACATCAGGGTGGTCTCGACCTCTTAATTAAAGTCAATTGAGACAAGATTGAACTCCATTTAACCTCATTTAACCTTAGAGTGTTGAGTTCTTTTGTTATTATTATTACAGCACAGCTAACATATCTAACCTCTCACAATTGCCTTAAGGAAAGTTGGATTTAACTCAATGGCTGCTTCTGCATCCCTTAGTGAATCCTGGTGATTTCCTGTTATTGAAATAAATATCTCTGATTAGCCATACATGTTGCAAACCAACTACCATTACTATAATTTTGGGAAAAACTTGTGATGCTCATTGATATCTGGGGTAAGAGGCTACTTCTTTGTATATTTGAGAGGCCAAGATAAGATCTAAATTTTCCCGGGCATGCATTCAAAATTATCACCTTTTTCAGAAAACTACTACTGACAACTCAATAGCTTCAAAAAAGAAAAAAAAAATGCATATTAAAGCTCTCATCATCTTACCAAGTTTAGAATGTGCAATAGCCCTGTTGTTGTGCAGTTTGGCCTTCAGTTCTTTCTCATTGCAGTTCATTTTAATTCCTTTGGTGTAAAAATGAATAGCATTGATGAAATCTCCTTTCTTGAAGGCCTCATTACCCTCATTTCTATAAACATCAGCTGTGGCTGCAAAGAAAAAATAAAAAAAAATGTGTGTCAAAAGTCTGTGGTTGTAGTTAATAATTACTTGTGGTTGTAGTTAATTAGTGAATAAGCAGAGCTGCCAAGATCTGGAGATTAAAAATCTGCAGATTTTTTCTTTAGTGCCAGCTGCCACTTTTGCACCTGCCTGACTTGACCCATCCCCTGAAAAGCTTGGAGTAATACTGCTGAATCATTCACTAAGCTCATGAGAATAAAGGAAATGATCACCAACCTAAGAAGCATTGATCTTCAAATGAATTCTCTTTTTCAGTACCACAAGAAACATACAAAGAATAGTATGGAGAATATGGATACTGATGTTAGGGTGTCAAGGGTTAAACACCTCCATATTCAATGATATAACACTTGCACTCTACTGGAAATTGGTTGCTTAGGGGAAGTTCAAACTTTCAATTTAATGTTGCATAATATAATGGAAAGATGATGATGATGATGATGCTGGTACTTATGATGCAAACTTACAAAATGAATGTTATATGATGATTAAATAAAGTCTTTACTTATTATAACTTGGTGTATTTGCTTTGAAATTTGAGAAAAGAAAATAACAAATATGTCATAAATCCTCTCAGTCAATGAACAGCATATTGTAATCATAGAAGAGAGTCATGACTGGCCAAATATCCTTTAAGGTGGTCATGCAGTGTATTAATATTGTTCTCCACATCTGCTTACATTCTTGAAACTGGTGGAATAGAAAATGTTTTAACAGTGACTGAAGCCAAAGTTGAACCTAGCTCACCTCGTAAAGTGTCCTCATCAAAAACTGGAGCATTTTCTTTGTCAGGTAAGTCTTCATTTTCAGATGGAACCTTAATTGGACTTCTTTCTTTAGCCATAGCAACTGTAAGGGGATGCTTCTTTCAAAAAGTTGCTGTTTTAAGTCATCCTGGCCTGAAAAAAAAGATGGTTGCAAATGGTAAAAAAATTAGCTCAACATATTACCCAATTGTAAACTAAATATTTTTCCCCTCCTAAGAATGGGAGGGATACATAGACACAAAATCACAAGCAATTAATATTAATAGCATATTTAAAGCAGTAGAAGAACAAAAGATATATATACTGAAGAAAACAAGCATTAATATTTAAATAAACAGTAATTCACTTCTCATTACAATAAATTTCAAGATTTACCAAAGACATTCCTATGCAATTGACTGAAATAAATTGGGCAAAAATCAACATCTGTGTGTTTCAAGTTTATATAATTTGTAACAGTAGCAATTTAAATCATTCAAACTAAGAGGTGGTAGGTAGTTAGGTCACATCTGGATTTGAAAAGTGGCCTGTCCAGGGCCTGAGCTTTACTTAATCCTGGTTTCCTTACATGAAGCAACTGGGAGTATTACTACCCAACCCTGGACAGGATGCAAGTCCATTCCACCATTATCCCCCCCCCCCCCCTTCACCCCCCTTGCATTTTATCAGGTTTCCCTAACTAATTTTTGCTACCCATTTATACTCCTGGGTGGAGACAGACACTGTAAGAGTAAAGTGTTTTGCACAAGAACACAACACATTGACTGGAACCCAGACCTCTTGACCCCGAGTCCAGCACAGGCTACAAATGCAGACCTCTTGGGTCAGCATTAGATTCCATCCACCAAAACCACCTTGGTCAAGAGGGACTGAGATGGAATGATGGACAACTCATGACTTGTTATACTAAATGAAAATTACGAAGCTACAACAACATGCCGACTTATCCCAATGACCCAAGTGTATTATTTGTTTGGGAAATTGCGTCAAAACTTTTTACTAAAGAAATGGTAAGTATTAATTTATTGTTTGATTGTAGTATTATAAAACATTTTACGCAATTTTATGCAGATATTTCACGTATTTAAAAGGTGCTTAGATGTTACGTAGTTTTGGTGGATGTCATTAGGGAACATCCACCAAAACTTTGACCAAAACCATCAACAATATATTTTTTTAATTTTATCTATAGCCACTGTTAGATGTTCAGGGGGACAAAAGATTTATAGCACTAATTAGCAGTTAGTGCTCTGGCTAATTATTTTTATGGTGCACAATTGCTGACCGACCAAACGTTCATAATGATTATCATAACTCATAACACATAGAATAAAGTGGTTTTGGTGGATGTTTCTCTCCATCCACCAAAACCACCACAGAAATTTCTGCTACTTCCTTACAGAAGACTGATGTGACCTGCTATTTGGAGTACATAACCACAATCTATTTCTTTGTATGTAGAGATATTTTGGAAAGTTCTTGAGTCAGCACTTTTTATTATTGAAACCATAATCATAACATGGTGCATAATATAGAATACAAAAGGTTCTGGTGTGGTAATCATGTAATCTTGAAACAGGAGAGTTTTTAACTGACTTAAACTGTTTTAAACAAACATTTGCAACAAAATTCCAGGTCCAGAAATTTCTTCCACTATTTCCGCTAAAATCATAACCTTTAAGTACAATAAATCAGCACATTAGTAATTATTGTTATCAGGGGTCTGAAAATCCTATAAATCTTTCACATTTATTTCAAGTAACCTTTAATTTCACATGGATGAATAAGTATACACTCAAGATGCAGAATGTCTTACATTTTACAAACTATTTCCCTTTTTATGGATAGACAGTGAAAGGCCTTTGCCACATTGGTGAATCAAACCATTGTATACCATGCATTTTGTGATAATTGTTTGTTTTTGTTCACAATACCCAGAAAAATGGAGGGGATAAATTTAAATAGCAAATTCTATGGTTAAAATTAAATAACATTGGAAGATCAAATTAACTTTGTACTGTTTAAAATTCAGTTTTGGTTTCTTGCTTATTCCAGCCTCTTGATATTCAAAAGCATTCCTTGTCATTTTTGTGTTCTTCTGTGTACATAACTTGAAAAATTAACACAGAGAAAGGAGACCACAAAGGATTAAACTTGAAGCTAAAGCAAAGTTTAAGTTGAGCCATAGCTGATCCAAATACTGAGCACTTTGTATTGTAACCCATTTAGCAGTAAAGTTTATCTATATGTCTGCCAGCTTGTCACAAGTCTTACCCCTCTCCTTCAAAAGTCTCTATAAATAAATTTTTCTTTGTGGTCCCTAATTGATGATAAGTATATTACAGCTCCTCAATTTTCCTCTCTCAAGACAAGGTTACTCTAAATTTAACAAAGTAATGGACTTGATAAAACTCAAACTATAACTCAGCTGGCGGCTACTTGCAACCTTAATTTCTAGATATCAGTATACAATAATCAATATGTTATAAATAAGAACCCTAATGCTTAATTTTGCAGTGATCACCTTCCTCCTTTTCATTTGCAGACCAGACTGGAACCTCTATAGGTGTGTTTGCTTGTTTTGAGTGGGGATGGAAGAAAAGGAGTCATGCTGCATATCTGATTTATTAAATTGGATTTGTTCTTTTTATACATGAGTAGAACTACCTTGTTCTCTGAAAAAAAAAATTTCTCGCATTTTTATCTGTGCTTTGCAGTCAAACTTCCTTGTGTCTTGGACAAGAAATCTTATTTTCTTGAAAACAAAATCTTTGTTTCCAGCCTTCTGTAATAGGTAAATATAACAGTGTAAGATGAGTGACAGTGTATTTCTCAAGTTATTTTTTGGAATGTGACAAAACGGAAGTGTCATAGTGTGATAAGGAGCCAACATATAATTGCTTGATAGAAAGCAAAAAATGCAGAATTGCATATATTTTCTCCTTTGTCAGCAGCATATGTTAGTGAAAAGTTCTTATAATTGTTAACTTCTAAACCATCTTCAATTTAGTCAAGATTGAACTGTTATCACGTTTGTCATAAAAGTATTCTGAGATCAATGTCATATAACCCATTCATGTATTTGACCTTTTGAATTAGCAAGCCATAGTTGACAGAAACACAAAGGTTGAGGATATATAGAAATTATTATATACAGTACTTCTTCTGCATCTTTTTGTTTCTTTTAATCTCCAGCTGTTCTATCTATGCCGTGCTGGCAATTGAACACTTTCCTTCCCAAAATTAGGAAAGGCACACCAGTAAAAAACGAATTTTTGCTCCTTAAATATCTCATGCATCTTCCCCCCAGTATTTTGTGACTTCTGTCCGAGGAAGGAGGTGTAAGCATTAAATTAATCCGAATGATTCCACAATTGTGGTAGAACTTGAACTAGATAAACTAGTGAGAATGCACAATAGCGATAGCAAAGCTTTGTAATTCCAAAGAGCTATATCAATATATATATATATATACAATGGTGTTCCTGAAACCTTTGACAGCTTTAAAGAAAGAAAACTTCGTCGTCAATCCTGTTTCAAATTCCGCAATAAGTTTATGCGCCTCATCAACAGAATTTACGTATCCTATATTATCTGCATGTCTACCATCAATGGTTCGCGACTTAAACTTCTCGCTATGCTGTTTCTGTTTGTTCCTCAAGAATCATGGGATTTACAGCTTCGGATATTTGGCTACATCACTTGCGGATTTCCGAGAATCTTCAGTTATGTTTTGCAAGTCATTAAATATTCCATCTCAGTCCCTCTTGACCGAGGTAGTTTTGGTGGATGGAATCTAATGCTGACCGACCTCTTGACCGTGGGTCCACCTCACTAATCATAAGCCCACCATGTCTCCAAGAAGAGGAGAGAGTTTATGCTGAATCGTTTCTCATAAAAAACAAATTTTACAACACCAAAGTAAAATTTTCTTATTTGATTTTTAAATAAGGATTACTGGTCAAAACTTATAAAAGATGTATTTCATTTATTCAATTTCCTACAGTTGAGCTGATGCCCATTCATGCCCATTCGTTTTTTACTGGTGTGCCTTTCCTAATTTTGGGAAGGAAAGTGAAATATTTACATTTATGCATGCTGATGTATGTTGAAATGGATTTAAATTTGGTACAGGTGCTGACATTTTTGCTTTATTAGTATATGTATATTTAACTAATTGTTTTTTCAGTTATTCCATATTTACATTGTCTGTGCACAAAATTGATTTGTCTTTGATGCTAACTTTAATTCTCCTAGTAATCATGACTGGTTGTTTTTTAAATATCAAATAATCTTTGCTG